GAGATCTGGCTTTCACATCAATTATTCCTAATATTTATGCTGGTAGATTACCCAAAGTTGAAGACTAGAATGTATCACCATGTGGATAAATATAACACATTGTTTGTAGGACATGACTTTCTTCACTGATATTCTAGGATAAGTCTTTGAATGAAGAACAGGGAAAGAGAGAAGGGAATTATGGTGATAATTCACAAATATTTTGGGGTTTTTAATGTCTGAAAATTCAGCTCTTCAGGAAATTCAAGAGCATTGTTGGACAAAATAATTATTTAAGGATTGTTTGTAGATTTGGGGAGCATTGCTATTGTTTTGGGGCTTTTTTAGTTTTGGTTTTGTTTTTTTTTTTTACTTTTGCAGGGCTCTGGAGAGGACACTGAAGGACTCTGTGGCATCATTGAAGCCATTGCAGAGGTTATCAAGCTGACTGATCCTTCACTGCTCTATCTGGAAGTTTCAACTTTAGTCAGTAAATACCCAGATATCAGGTAATTTTCTTTGCCCTCAAATTTAAAAGATAGATGGACAGATACCAATTGTAGTTTCTTTGGGTCTTGGGCAAATTTCAAAACAATGTGAAAATGTGTTCATATTTTTCATACTTTAGAATGTAACCACTTCCTTGTGAAAAATGATGGTAATGTAAAATGCATGCGAGCTGGCCTAGGAGTTACATCTGTTTAAGTACTCAGTGGTACAGCAGAGGAATAATTATGATACTTCAATTCTGTGTTTTGAGAGGATAAAATATGTTTTGGAGTCCTAAAAGCAGACAAAACAGTGCTTTATATTGAGCTGGAAAAGCCAATTCTGAGTGACTAGATATCTGATTAAGGATTAAAGTACATGCTGAAACTGAGTGAAAGGATTGCCAGCTAAGTGCTGTTTCTGACAAACTCTTACTTTGCAAAGTTTCCTAATGCCAGTTTTACCATTTTCCTTTGGCAGGGATGACCATATTGCAGCTTTGCTGACAGTGAGAGGTGATGCCAGCAGGGATATGAAGCAGACTATCATTGAGACTTTGGATCAAGGTCCAAGCCAACCGAATCCAAACTACGTGCCAATCTTTAAAGAAATTACAGTTCCTACCCTAACTGTGCCAAAACTTCTTAAGTAATTGACAACTCTGTGTTTGTGTGTCATTACTGCTCTGGGATCAACAGATTTGAAATATTTGAGGGCAAATTTGGCGATGATATCTCAAGTGAAGTTCAATATCTATTGATACTTGCTAGGCATGTTTCTAAAGACTTGGATGTGAGAAAATGTAGTAAGATTTCTGAAAGAAGATGGATTAAGGGTCATGCTTGAAGAACGAAGCTTTTAATGGCATGGGGGATTTTTTACTGACCCATTTGTTACAGCTCTTTTTGCTGTCAGCAGATACTTTTTTGTTGTGGAGTATGTTTGCACAGTGCACTGCAATGCTATATAAAGATACTTACACCAAAACCTGCAGAGCTGTATTAGTGCTGGATATACTAACATACATCGCTTACAATACCTAAACAGACTCCTTTAGAACTATCTTTATATAGCACTGCACTGAGTGTTAATGTCCTCAACTCACTTTCACGTTATATTTTGTGTATGTACTTAATTTGGTGTAAAATAGTTTATTGCAGAAAAATTAATTATGAAATCAGTTTCCTGAATTAAGGGACTGAAAGAAATTGCAGCAGTGCAATTTGATTATAGGTTGAATAAATAAATAAAGACATAAGGTACAATTTTTTTCATTGATTCACTAAAAACAGCACATAAAGCACCACCAGTTCAATAAAATGTTAAACGATTTCTGCGTTCAGCTATGATTCTTTGCATCCTTATAGATTTACAGAAGATGTAAGTCTTTTTCTTGTTGTGTGAATAAATACTGGATTTAATAGTTTTCTGAACACACAAGATACTGGGTTTTATTTCCACAGTATTTTCAGATTATAAACTTTTAATTATAAAATAGTACTAGACAATTGTAGATTCAAAAATACTTCATGAAGGATGCAATGAAGGCATTATCTGTTATACCTGAACAGAGCTGTCAGAGATAAGTCCAAGGAAGACATGAGCCTACATTGTTTTAATTAGCACTCTGGAGTTTGTGTATGTAATTGCTTTGGCCTGTGAACACCCAGACCGTCTGCCATTCCAACCCCTCTCACCGACTCTTCAGTACTGCAGAAGAGATACATGCAAGGTCAGCAATTTGGACAAAGGATAGAACAGAGAGTGTGGCTTTCTTTACTGACAGGGGCCAGCATGTCCCAAAGGATAAGGACGGTTCAGTAGAGCATCGTATTTGTATCTCTGTGCTTGGGAGGTTTTAGCGAGCCCTGGAGGCACTCCAGTTCCCAGGGGACCGTACACTGTTCCTAGATATTGTGGGCAGGGGGAGGGGAATTAGGCTGATTTTTGGATGATTGTGTTCAGCCCTCAGAGGAGAATTCAGCTAAAACTTACTGAGGTGATACTAGTTTGGCTTCTGCTCCAGTTTCAGTCCTGTACTTGAAATTCTGGTCCCGTGTGCTTTTGATCTTCACGTAAGGGAATCCATCGGGCTTTGCTTCTCCCTATCGCCCCTTCTTCCCCTGCAGCAGTAATAATCCCTGCAGAGGCTCGGATATTAAATTTATGCTATTTCCCCTCCAGGACAAGCCAGCTGCCCTGAGCGGGGACTCCGCAGGGATCGGTCACAGGGACGGCTCCTGACTTTGCGGGCACCTCCGCAGCGGCTGACGGCTCAGCGGGGAGGGCGGGGGCAGAGCCGCCGCTCCCCGGGCGCGGACGCACTCGGCTCAAGCCGCAGGGGGCGGGGCCGGAGGCCGCAGAATTCCCCTCGTGAGGCGCTGCGGGATCGATCCCGGCGGGAGCAGCTCGGGGTTCCCCCGCGCGGGGCGGGGCGGGCCGGGGCGGGGCTCGTGCCGTCAGGGCCGCGCTGCGTCACGGGCGGCCCGTGGCGGAAGCGCGAGGGCGATGGCGGCGGGATACCAGCACCGGCCCAACGGCGGCGGCGGCGCCCCCCTGCCCGACCCCGCCTTCCTGTGGAACGTCTTCCAGAGGTGAGGCCGCCGGCACGGCGTCCCCCCGGGCGGGGAGGGGGCTGCGAGGTGCCCGGAAGGCGCTGCGGGAATCCGGCCGCCCGCCCCCCGGGCATCCAGCAGTGACCGCCACGGCGGTGTCCCTGTGAGGGGAACCTCGTGGGGATCTGTAAGAGAGGGGTGAGGAGGGATAAGGGCGGCCGTGTCTTAGCCCAAGGGGGAAGGGGATTGATGGGAGCGCGAAGGTAGCCTTGAAAACCCTGAAGTAATTGTTGGCCCGAGGATCCAGAAAGGATTAAGTCCGGAGGATCAGTGCGGCAATACAGGAAGGCTTGTTAAAAGGAATCTGATCTCAGTGGGAGACTTTAAAGCTGCCAACAAATTGATAGTTTTATGGCGAGAGGACGTTGTCTTGAGCTGCGCCGGGGGAGGTTTAGGTTGGACATTAGAAGGAATTTCTTCTCGGAAAGGGTGATCAGATATTGGGGTGTCAGTATTGCCGGATGTGTTGGGCGGAGTCGCCCTCCCTGTAGGTGTCCAAGGAAAGGCTGGACGTGGCACGTAGTGCCGTGGGGTAGTTTGCATGGTAGTGTTCGGTCAAAGGTTGGACTCGATGATCTCGGACATCTTTTCCGGCCTAATTGGTTCTGTGGTTATGTGAAATATTCTCTTGAAGTCACCTGGAGCAGAGAGACCCGCAAGGGAGTCAGCAAACCTGTGTTAAACAAACGCACTGTTGAGATTGTAGCAGTAAAGAAGCCAAAGGGGATTTCACACTTGTGTCATGTCGAGGAAACCGGGGAGGTGCCTGGGTTGGATCCGTTTTTATGGGAGATGAGTCAAGACAGATCCTGTGACACTAGTGACAGCAAGAAGAGGTTAAGCAGTAGACAAACAGAAGTTGCTAAAACTGGCTAGTATTTACTGAGTGACTCAGGAATGCAGCAGCTTACCTACCCAGCCTTCTGTAAAACTTCATCTGAGCACTCGGAGGGAGCAGGCATGAGGCCATTTCTTTTTTTTAAGGGGTCCAGAAAGAAACAGATCAGCAGTCTGACTTCTGCACCAGGAAAATGAATAGAAACCATCTTAAATGTTGTAGTTAGCCAGACTTAATGGAGGAGCTGCATGGCTTTTGTTGAAAGTATTCCTGTCTGGAAGACTACCGTGTAAATCCTGGAATATGTTTGATAAGAATTGGGTATGGATATGATGGCTAGAGCTGATGCAATACATATAATTTGTATAGTTTCCAAAAAGACTCTCAACAGTATCGAAGGCCTTTGAAGGAATCCAGTAAATGTAGAATGAATGGGAAGGTCCTTTGATGGGTGGGAGACTGCCTGAAGAGTGTGTGGTCATCTGCCACACTGACAGATGGAACTGTTCTGGGATCTTCATTCCCTTGATTCAGGAGTAACTGGGGGAAAACAGAGTAGGTCTAGATTAGATATTAGGAAGAAATTCTTCACTGTGAGAGTGGCGAGGCACTGAAACAGGTTACCCAGAGAAGCTGTGCATGCCCCATCCCTGGGAGTGTTCAAGGCCAGGCTGGATGCAGCTCTGAGCAACCTGGGATAGTGGAAGGTGTCCCTGCCCATGGCAAGAGGGGTGGATCAAGATGATCTTCAGGGTCCCTTCCAACTCAAACTGCTCTATGATTCTGTGAAAAGAGGGTGAATGGTCAGATGAGGTTTTCTGATTCCTGCAGTAAGTGAGGCCCATGAAGCCTTGCAGGAGCACCTTACAGTCCTGAATAACTGGGTCCTATCAGCCTGTCACGGCCAGATCATGATCGCTGTATGACAGGTGAAATCCAGAGTAGGTACTTGATGTCCATAAGGAAAAAAACATTTTAACTTTACATCATTTTATTTATAAAATGAATGTGCTGACTGATGATGCTCAGGAGCAGGATAAGTAGGCCATAACGTATTTTCATTAAAATATCAGCTTAGCACTCAGTAGGAGCTCATAAAAAGTAAAAAATGTTCAGAATACTGAGAAAAGAAATAAAGAATAAAAAAGGGGAATATATTTTTGTTATTGTAATCTTTGCAATTTATGCGTGCAGTTTCCATGTCACATGTGGCTTACATAATTTTTGAGATGGGGAAGGAAGCAATAGAATGAACTGAAAATGTTTAGAAAAAGACAAGAAGGACTAAAGTGAAAAAAGTCAGCTTCTGCGAAGAGGGTTCAACTGAGCAGGACTCTGCTTTGGAATGGTAGGAATGAGAGAAAATAAAAACTGGCAGTCCAAGGGGAAGGTCTTTGTATGGGATGAAGTCCCCCACCACTTTCAGATACCCTTCTAAAGAAGGCACGATCCTGCTTTATTTGGCCAGAAATTACTTAATTCATTAATTCTGGCATAGAACTAGATTCTGTAAGACTGTGAAGACTCAATGGAAGCTGGAACCTGCCTGTGCTTTTTCCTTTTTGAATCCCTTTGAGAGGGCTCAAGGCCCTGCAGCCCGTTGAGTCGTTCAGTACTTTGGTCACATTAGTGACTCTCTCCATTGCCAAGATCTTACTGAGGGAATCTGGGTGCCAAACCTGTCGCTCCAGTTTGGGAAAGGAACAGCTTACTGCTGTGACATTAGGCATTTTGTGGATTTAATTAGCATGGTGTGCTCTGCAGTTCTCTTAAAAAAAAATCAATTAATAAAAATACTTTATTGTGCAGAGTATGTCCAAACTGTTTTATTGTCAGTGTGTGTTTCTCTGTGTCTCTCTTCACTCATAAGTAAATCTTGCAGTTTTCTTTGTAGCTTTTATTTTGTTCCAGAATGTCTCCTCAGTCTGAATGAAGGGTTAAATTTGCAGTAACTGTGAATGGTTGACCAAGTTAAATGCAATTAGTGACTTTTCAGGAAAAGGTTAATCTTATCTGGTGAGTAAGAACCAGAATGTTCAAGTCTTCTGAGAGTGGAACCTGTTAAATTCAGCCATTTAAAGCTTACTGCCTTTTTTTTTCCCACAGAGTTGATAAAGACAGGAGTGGAATTATATCTGATAATGAACTTCAGCAGGCATTATCCAATGGTAAGTCTGTAAATGAGCCATGAGATAGTTCCTTGTAAACTTAATGTTAAATTTCTTGTGAGACTGGTCACTTGATGTCATCATTGTTTGAACTGAGGGATGTCCTTACCACTGATTAATACTATTTAATCTACAGCAGAAGGCTGGGGAGGGGAAGAAAAAGAAAAGGACAATCCTCCTGATTTTTTTTTTTTAAACTGAGTATCTACTGTAAATGTTACTGATTTGTATTTTGGGGAATGAAGGCATCCACATCCCTTTTATTTTTCCCCATCTCTGCTTCCTGGAAATCCTAACCAGTTATTTATATATTCCTCATTCATCACTGTTGAACCTTTGCTTTTTTAACAAGGATCAGTGTGTATAACCTGGACAAAGATCAGCTGCTTACAACCAGGCTTTTTACTGAACATAAAATCTTTTCATACAGTATGGTGCAGGAATTGAAGATGATAGTAACTCTTTTTTTCTTTCCCCCAGAGAGGCATATTTGAGGTTTCTCCTAACAGAGTAGAAAGGTGCACTCTAGATCTAGTACTAAAACTTTTTGGTAGTATGTCAGTTCCCTGTATTAATGCTCAAAGAATAACTAGGTTTTGGTCAAATAACTCATGGAAGCAAAATTAAAAATGAACTTTTTTTTCCAGTAGCCTATTTTTACTTTCCTTTCATGACTCAGTGTGGGTAGGGTTGTACTTTGTGGGTTTGTTTCCACTTAGGAATCTGAAAAATGGCATATTGAGGTTGTTTATGCACCTTTGAGTTTGTATCGAGTTCCTCTTCTCCCAGGGTTTAATTCCTTTATCCTTCCTGCGCTTTGTAACTGAGAAAGATTTAAACTGATGTGAGCTGCAGTGCACACAGGCTGAAAGGCCCCTTGTTGTCAGTAATTGCCTGACTTAAAATAATTTGGATGGCTCTATTTCGTAAAATTGCACTCCAGTAACTGAACTGGATTTACTAGAATATTCATTTAATAATGTATCTGAAAAATTAAAAGCAATGTATTGTGCCTGCCAGACCTGATCCATAACTAAAATATTACTTTGAATACAAGCTTTAGCAAAAGCCAAGTTAAATTGATTAAGTCACCATTATCACTTAGATTACAGTGCTGTTTAGAACTGTGAGAACCTGGCTTTACCTGTCATTTTAAACTTCATATAATTTAAACATCTTCTCATCTGATTAAATGTAAGGGTAATAGGTAGTGATGACTATCTGAACCCTTTTCTTTCCTTATTTGCAGTGTAGATGAGCAGTTGCAGTGCTTTGCAGTTATGAAGAATGCCTACTGAGTGTTAGACAAAATATTTACAGAGCTGTAAGCTTCCTTCATTCCAAGAGATTCTAGATCTTGTACATCAAAGTCACTAACAATTCACTATATTATTTTCAAAACATATCCCCTAGTGGATGGTTGTGCGCAGCTGTCCTGCAGTCTAAGATGGGCTAAAAGAATGTTATGTGTTTATTTCTAAAACATTTTAAAAAGTCTGCATAGTGCTCATTAAAATTTGAAGCTCAGTGTGGTTTTGACATTTTGACATTTTCAACATGTCAAGTTTATGCAAATAACAGTGTGCTTCTGTTGGGAGGGAGTGATCATCACATTGTACAGCTGTTTGCACAGTAAAATCCTATGCTTCCTTCTTTTCTTCTGTGCTGCTGTGTGAATTGACAGTAGAGTCAGGAGAGGAGGCAGGAACAGTCTTTCACTGTTTGTTGGAATAGGCTGAAATCAGTACAGTTCTTCAGCTCTGGAATTGCTCAGATTTCACTCTGTGGCATCTATATGAGTCTCTTCAACATGAAATAAGTTAACTTGTTTCACTTTTTTTCACTGTATTTTCACTTTTTCCTCTTCTTCTGTTCAGAGTTAAATGCTGGCGCCCTATTAATAATTAATTATTTTTTATTTTTGTCAGGAGACATACAACTCTAAGGTACTGATGTTCTCTGTCTAAAATACTGCTTAAGCATTTTCAGAGCCATCTTTTCTCTTTCTCTGCTTACATTTCTCTTTATGTGCAAATAGTCATGTGCCCTGCCTGCAGTACAGGGTTTCCCCCATTGCTGCACCTGTAGACTTACACCACTGCAGCTTGGTCCAGCAAAGCTCAGTACCAATGCAGCCCTCCTCTTAGGTACCTGTGGTCAGCTACTGCATCACTGCCAGCACCTCTGCAGTGCCCCTCCTCTCACTGATTCCTTTACTCCTTGTCTCCCCGATCCTTTGTGGTCCCTGCACACAACTGCAATTAAAATCTGCTGCTTCGTCCTCCCGGTTCCCTCACAGGCTCTAGAGAAATGGTGGTGAAATTCTAGATGAGGCACAGTATTTCTCTTAATTTAAAGCTTGATGCTTCCTAGCACTCAGGAATGCTCTCAACCAAGTGCAAACTATTCCACAGCAACTAGCCTCTAAATACTCAAAGTACAAAGCTCCTCTTCAAATGATTATGCTCAGGCCCTTTCAAGCAACAACACTTCTTGTTCTGAAAATACTAATTTAAACTCATGCCTAATTGATCTATCAGTGGAGGTGGGATAGCTCTAAATTGCACTGTGTGGTTATGCCATTTTAGAAACCTCTTCTTTTTACTTCTGTCAGAAACTAAAAGTGCCCTGGAGTAGTCCTGTAAAACAGGAAATGAGCAGATGGGTTTTGACTGAGGAACAGACATGAGACCTTGACTGAGTTGTAAACTTAAAACTCTTCTGCTCCCATCAGTAGAAAAAGGGGTATTTCTGTTTTGATCGTGCCTTATATCCAATACTTCCTGACAGCCTGGGATGAAAAAATTCTTTCTTAGATCTTCCAGGATTTGTTAGGGTTTTTTTATTGCAGCCTGAAAAATGTTGGTTTCTGTGTAGTACTCGTACAACGTTGGTCTGAAGTCATCTCTGAATGGTCAAGAACATCATTACTTCAAAGCAGCCTTATTTTGTAACACGGCAGCTCCATGTCATCTAGCTCTGAATTTACTTTTCTTAACAGAGTTTTTTGTTTGGTTTGTTGCATTTTATTGAAATGTTGCTTAGTATTGAGGAACTAAGTAATTCTTTCTATTTCAGGCACGTGGACTCCATTTAATCCAGCAACAGTCAGGTCAATTCTTGGTGAGTGTAGTTGTGTGATGTGAAATAGTGAAGATACTGTTTTGTGATCATTCAGATGATTGAGAATGCTATCAATTGCTGCACTGTTTTTTTTTCCTCAGAGTGTCCAGCAGTAGTAAGTTGAGTTCAAACATTTTGCCTTTTGATGAATGCAGGGATGCCCTTGTTGTGCACACACGTGCACTTGTCGAAGTAGCCTGAGAAAATTTACTGACAAACTGAATAGATAGTGAATGTAATTTATGCATGGGGAAATCGTCAAATATTCTAAAAAGATATTATATAGCTTGTCTTTGTAAGTAGTTTTTCCTGTCTTGCATTTTAATCCTGTGTTTCACTCCAGAAATACCAAACACAAGTTTTAAAATGTTTGAATTTTCTTCGGTGTCCTAAAATAATTGCCAGTAATGTGGAAGATGATGGTGGTAGAATAGAAGGATAAAAATGCAAGCACAATAACTCTTTTCTATCACACAGTTCATAAATCCAAGGACTAAAGTTTTTGCTTTGTTTTCAGTAAGTATTCAGCTCTGAATTCCATTGCTGTGTCACATGCTTTTTGTATAAAGATGACAGTATCAGTAGGTGCACATGAATATCCCAGCACTTTTGGCAGGGAATAGACTTAAGACTTTTTAATGTGTCCTTAGAAAAGAACAACCCATCCGTCTGCCCATTTTGATTGATCACTGGATGATCAATCAAGCCCTCAATATTTTCAGACTGAAAATGAAAACCCAGGAAAAATAAACTTTCTGCAATTAATTCTGTTCATCTTTCATCTTCCTTTATCTTTCTCCTTCAGAGGATGACTACTTGCTTTCTCTTATTTTTCCAAAATATCACTTTTATTTTATCAATTTCTTTTCTGTCTTCAGTGCCCTATACAAAGTGCTCTTGCTGTCTTCCTAAAATACTGGCAAAATCCTTGCTGAGGAGTAGCAGGACTCAGGTTTTATATGGGTTTCTTATTTATTTCAGGTATGTTTGACAGAGAAAACAAAGGTGGTGTGAACTTCAATGAATTCACGGGCGTCTGGAAGTACATCACAGACTGGCAGAACGTCTTTCGAACGTATGACAGAGACAATTCTGGAATGATTGACAAAAATGAACTAAAGCAGGCACTAACAGGTTTTGGTAATTCATTTGTAATTACAGTTTTTATGATTGAGTTATGTCATCAAATGAGCTTCTTATTGTTAGGGCTTTACTGCTCTGACAAATGTGACTAAAAATGAGGCAGGGGAAGGGCAGCTACCTTTTTAGCCCTAAGGTTCCTTTTAATGATGTCCATGCCACAAGCACATTTTCTTTTTTAAAGCTCTTCCCTTTAATAGAAAAAAACCCATCCCACACATGTACTGACACATCTAGTTCCAGCCTCTTCTCTCTGCTCTGAGAGAACCAGCGCTTCAGGCAAATGTCTGAACTTCCCAGGTACTTGTTACAGCTTGCCACTTTTTAAAGCAAAGCCAGCTGTCTATGGTACGAGAGCATTCTGATGGCAAAAGAACTCCTGTTCCAGTGACTTCACTTGTAAAGACTTGAGCTGCAGCCCTAAACCGTTCCCTCAACCAACTAGTTGCCCTAATCAGTAATTATATTTACTGTGACTCTGGGTATAATTATTATTAAGCATGGTTTTTATTGCATGCCTTTTATAACAGATATTTAGAAAAAAAATCAGTCTTAACTCCCCACTGTTTTGTCATTTAGTGACACATGCCTGCTGAACGGCCTTGTTCTTTCTGTAGAAGGACTGTGGTATTTGAAACCTTGTAAAGCATTTCTCTTTTTCCAAGGTTACCGACTGTCTGATCAATTCTACGATATCCTTATTCGGAAATTTGATAGACAAGGAAGAGGACAAGTTGCTTTTGATGACTTTATTCAGTGCTGTGTTGTTTTACAGGTAAGAAATGAGATGTGCTTTAATGCCAATTGAAAAAAAAATTACCTTTTCTTAAGCTTTTATGGTTCTCACAGTGGATCTAGAACAATAAACAAAAGATTTATTTATAATAAACCATTTGAACTAAGTATACGAGAGGAGCTAGAAACATGTTCATATATTGGTCTTTGATTACTTATCCATTTGCATCACAAGTAAATTTGATACAATTGGAAGGGACAAACAAATGTAAAATAGTCTCTGTGTTTTGAAAGGACAACACTTAACACTATCTCCATTAGCTTATTACACACACTTCTTCTGGAGCCTGAGTGTCAAAAGTGGAGTGTGTCATGTCCCATAGTGCCCATAATTCTCATAATCTAAATTACAACTTTTTAGTGTATCTCTTGTTTAAGGCTCTGATTAAAGGAGTTTGACCTAGTAGCTGAATTACTCAGTCTTTCATCACAGCAGTACCTTCAGGGACAATGGTAATAAAAGATATTTCAAACAAACCAACAAAAACCTTTGAGAGAGAGTACTGTAGGTTTGCAGATGTATTTCATTGTTTAGAAATCAGTCCTCACCTCTTTGCTTAAGGTTTCTCAAAGCTTACTGATTTTTCTGAAACGTATGTAAGATTCTGTGGAAAAGTTAGGAAACTGTAGGAGTGGACAAGCTGAGTTTTAGTAGAATAGGAAAAAGTGTGCTGCTCTTTCAGCTGGCCAGCATGTCTTAAGACATGAAGGGAAAGCAGTATCCTGTAAAAGTAGTATCCCTGTTATTTGCACTCAGGTGTCTTGTGTCTTGTTCTTCTTCTTTTAGCTTTATGTCTGTTACTGTAAGTCTGCTGAAACATCAGTTGCCTTGATACTCAATTGTAATATAAGGCAATTATAGTTAGTTATAAACTTGAACTCTAGTAAAAAGAGCTTTGAAATGGAGTTTCATTCAGCTGATACTTCTGAAACCATGCTGGTGGTTATTCTGGTCCACTGCATGTACTGCCTGGCATCTCTGGGGTTATACAGACAGCTGAGATACCAATGACACACGAGGCATATTTGCCTAGGAGGTGAGAAATGCACAAGGTATGTGTTGCATTCTGTTTCCAAATGACTCTCAAATGTAGCATTCTTTTTACCCCCCCCTTTAAAGCCAGTTATAAAAAGCTGTCTAATCTATAAAGTGCCCAGAGACAGACTTGGGTGTTGTATCATTATTGGCAAAGAGCTATCTTTATACACACAAGACTGTAAAATGGCTACAGAGGGGATGAACAGAAAGAGTTTCACACAGCTGTAGAAGCCAGGTGGCAGGGAGAACACATGGCAGTCTGAACCTTCAGAAACAAAAATGTGTACTTTTTTCCCTCCTCCTCAGAGGCTGACTGATGTGTTCCGACGATACGACACTGATCAAGATGGCTGGATCCAGGTGTCCTATGAGCAGTATCTTTCCATGGTCTTCAGCATCGTATGACACTGATAACTAGGAATTACACACTGGCATTACACAGACTGGAGCTGCCAAATCATCGTGTACTGAATCAGATTATTGATGTATTATAATGGATGTAACTTCACGTTCTTAAATTTTGTATGTTGGTCATCACCTTAAGAATCTGTACTTGAGTTGGTTTTTATTTTGTATTATTGTATGATATGACCATCTCTGCTTACTGTAGTACAGAAAGCACAGAATCTAGATTTAACTGGTGCAATGTCAAACTTAACCTATTTCACATATCCTGCATGGGAAAAATGACTCTTTAGAAATGCCAAATGAAAATAATGCTTGTTAGTTTATAAAAGAGTTGGAAGTCAGAAGTTGCACAACATGTTTTGCATGTGCCTTACTTTTATAAGAGTTTAATGTATTAATTTTTAATACAGAATTTAAAATTAAGTAAAAATATTAGACCAACTTTTGTAGTCTATTTCACTCTTGTACAGCTTTAAGGGGGTGGTGGCTTTACTTCTGTATTTTTACAGGCTCAGGGATCTCCCACTTGGATGGCCTTTTTCTCTTGTTTATTTTCTAGCTGCCTCCTTTTTCCAGGGTATCCTTGGGCCAGCTTCAAATACAACTTCTTCACACCTTTGTCCATTACTGCATCTTCCTTGATAAGTTCCACCCAAAAATGAACTCTGACTAGTCTGAATATGTTCCCTCTGCTTAGTCATCTCATTTAACATCAGCACTCTTCCATTTTGTGCTGAAGCACTTATTTGAAGTGGCCTTGAATTGACAGTCAGACACACTTGTAAGGTTACCCTGCATCTCACCATTTACAGCTGATGACACAGTGGAAAAACTGAAGCAAAACAATTAATGACTGTGTCACACACCATCTCCTGCAGTAACTCTGCAAGAAGCAACTTGGAGGAAGCAAAGAGAAGTTAACAAAAACCCTCAAGGTTACGATGTTATTTCCAGGTGACCCTGAGATTAGCTCAGTTGGTTAAAGCATCTTTGGCCCTTATGGGTCCCTTCCAATTCAGAATATTCTGTGACTCTGTGTCTTAGCCAAGGTAGAGTGTCTGGTGTCAGGGTGAAGACAGCAAAGTGGCAACTGTGTAGTTGTCAAACATCTGCTGTGCAGAGAAGCTGCTACTAGTTGTCAAGTAATAATCAATCAGACCCTTAGTGACAGCTCAGCAACACTGAACACTCTTCTGGTGTGAAATATCTGGGAAGAGACCAATGGTCTCCACGGCATAAGCCCACCAAAATAAGGAATTCTCTCAAAGCACTTAGGGCATTGCCACTCAAAGGACAAGGGAGCAAAAATAATGGCCAATGTCAGAAACCACCTCATTCAACACCATTGAATGAACTGTGAAAGTTACTTCAAGGGAGAAAGACTTCCACCAGTTACTGCTTGAAACTTCCCTCACCAGAAGGCTGAGATGATCACTAGATACGTTCTCTTCCAAAACAAAACATTAACAGAAGAGCCTCAATGTTTTGGGCTAAAAAGAACTTGTTCCTTCCTTTCCCACTGAGGAATCTGTCCATTTGGATCATGCACCCACATGAAGTACCGTAATCCTGGGAAATGCTTTAAGGAGCATTAATAGGTCTAAGCTACAAAACTGAAAAAGCTGGAATCTGACAGACTTCCCAAGTTGTCTTCTCTGAAGGATGTCTCTGTGTCCAGCTGGCCTTGTTCTGCTTCACTGTCTTGCACTTTGTGAAGGAGCACCACTGCTGCAAAGAATCACCCATGTGGCTCTGGATTGAAACAACTCTTGTCCCAGCGGATAACACACATCTGAAGGTATGAAAGCAGGTACACCACAGACCAGAAAGATGGCTGAAAAGTAGACCATTTACGCCCCAGTGCATATTCTAGTCTGAATTTTTATCAATGGCTTTCTAAGGAAATGTGAAATTGATGCAGAGGGCTCAGGTGCAGCCTCAAAACGCTTGCCTCTGTGCCAAAGCCTGTGATGTAGCTGGTTTAGTGCTGACAGGTGGCAAGCACCCAGTGCTGCCTGCTTTGTGAAGGTTTCTTGAAGAACTAGAGCCTGGAGAAACAGGAACAGGCAGAGAATCATTCTATTCCAGTTCTAAACTACATGGGAGCAAGATAAGGCAAAGGGGTTTCTTGGAAGTATGGAGTAGTCAGTAATTTACAGCTCAAGAAACCTTTAGTAAATCAGTGCTCTCTTAACTTGGTCACTACTCCAATTTCATTCCAAACTGCAAGAACTGTTTCCCAAATGCAGGACTCTGCACACCGACAAGGAGGACCAACAACTGCTGCTCAGAATGAAAAATACGAAGGGAACATGTAGGTGGAAAGAACATCTAATTTGGGCAGAGATCATCCGGCTGCTGTGTGCCAGTCGGATGTACAGTAAAGGCAGTAAAAGCCCAAAGGGTGTGAGAAATGGGGAAGAAAGAGCTCTCTACAACAAGCTCAGATGAAAACATCTTGAGAGTTGCAACAGTAATATTTGCTAGCAATGTTTTTTTCTACAGTTTCAGAATTTTAGTTGCACTACACTTGCTGTGGTAGTAACATTTGTGTAAATGATTTCTGATAATTTTTAAATGTAGATAGTAACTGATCAGTTCCACAGCATTTTAAATCAAAACTCTGGCAGACACCTGTGGTAGGCAATCATAGTTTTCCCCTTTAAGCAAGAAGATTGACTATGTAATTCAGTGGATAAAAGTGTGTGGCACAACTACTAAGTGTATGCCATTATAAACCACCCAAACACACCAGTAAGTATGAGAGGAAGTAAAGGAAATAGTGAACAGAAATGCAAAAGGAAAGCGTATCTTTTCAGATGCAGGAGCAAAATAATTACAGAAGGACTATTTTAGGGAACTGAGTTTATATGCTCAATAGTAAATTGCTATGAGTTTTTGTTAAAATTTATGTGACAAGATCTAAAATGTATTTTGTCAAGCTCATGAAGACTAATCCTGTTTCAGCACAAGTATTTAATGCTCAGAGACACAGTTCAGGTATGGGTGAGAAGAAAAATGATAGTCCACAACACAGCAGTGAGAAGGAAAATGGACACTGGGGATGTAAACTGTCTCACTTTACTTTTTTATGTCAGCTCCATGTAAGGTGGTTTTAATTACATAAGGCAGACATCCAAAGCCAGGAATTCATCAACATGTGGCCCAGAAGTGTGAGGAAAAGAAAAAAAACCCACAGACCATTGATAAACATCATGAACTGGTAAGCATTCCTCAGTTAGTAGGACATTTTGATTATCTATTTTTTCCTGTTATTTTATCTGAGTGCCTTATGGATTCTACTATTTCTTGATAAGCTTTTGCCAGTAGAAAGGACCAAGATTTTTTATTTTAGGATGGGTCAATCCATCAAATGAGTTTTTAAGTAAATTTATAACAATTTCATTCTGAACAATATAATAAAATCTGCATATATTTCAAACCTCTTTATACTATGCAAAAATGAAAGTAATAGGCCATATTACGTAACAGTCCTAGAATAGATTATATTTTCCTCATATGGCATCACATTAAGACAAAATTCCTTTGCTGTGACATTCTTTCCTTGTCTAAACAGAAATGCAGTGTATCACTTTCTAAAAATATGCCAATTATAAAGCCTCAAATTAATAGAATTGGCCTTACGTTTGTGTGAAGAAAAGTAAACCTGTATTTTTTAATATTCTTCTCAAGTAGGTAACGTAAAACTTCTTTTTTTTTCTGAATTGGGAAGGGTGTTAAAAGGTTTAAAAGGTCTTTTTGCTGATGGAATAACTTTAACATATTTTAAAAAAATAACAAAAGATTTTTTCTGTAATATACTAAGATGTAACAAATACATTACAAAAAGCCTAAACAAAATAGTATGTTCATCCGTTATGTGCAAGTTTGTGTTCCAGCTATATTTTACATGTTAAAAAATTAAACCCTACCTCCCTTTACCCTTCCAAAACCAGTTAAATGCAGAATTAAATGCAGTCTCTTTCCTGAAAGGCAAGAGATGGAGACTCTTGAATCTCTTCATCTGTTTCCAGTTCAGCTGTTGTGGCTCCTCAGTCTTTTCCTCTAGTTTCTACTAGCACGTTGACTAATGTCTGAATATTTAGTTCTAGAAAAAGGAAATAAAGGTATTTAAAGTTACTTCTATTTCATGATATTTCACGTAACACAGCATAGAAAATGTTAAAATGAAGGTTTTCCTCTTAACTAGCTTCCTAGTTAATTAACTAATTCTAGTACCAGAAACACAGTTTGCATTTGTCCAAATGACAGGTATACAGTACATTATACCCACCTCCCTTTAAACCCCTCTCATAATCTATTTCCAAAGAAGAATCTTTTATTTTGAATACTGTATCACTATTCTTAACATTAAGGGCTATTTCTACAATAATTAGAAAAAAATAAATTGTCATATAATGAACCAAGCTCTTTGATAACATTTATGTTATCCCAGTGGGTTTGATCCATTTGGATTATTTATTATAATGCCATCCAGGTTTGGTTCTGCATGCGTTACAATATGTTTTTCTTTATGCCAATACATTCTCTAGAATAGATAACATCTTCCTCATACAGCACCCACATTAAGACAGAGAATACATTTGCTGTGACATTCTCCTTTGTTTGTCTAAACAGAAACGTAGTGCATCAATTTTTAAAAATATGCTAACAACATAAGCATACTGCAGTGTAACATTGCGACCCTAACAGTACAAAGTCATGATATAAAATGCTAGTTAGAAATAAATAAATATAAATGATATAAAATGCTAGGACAAACCTTTCAATTCAGGAAATTTTTGTTCTATCAAAATTTCCTCCTGCTATCTGCTCTGTTTAGTTGCCAAGAGGCACAGTGTCCTCAGAGAGGCAATACCACCTTTCTTCAGCTGATACAGACACTGAGCAAAAAGAAAACGACTCCCCTGAACAGCACGTCCTGTCTCTGCAACACACACAGCACACAATCTCCTGCCTATGTTAAAGCAACTACGTTGATGTAACTCATTTTATATGCAAACTAATCACAATCTTACTCTGAAGTACTGGATAATACGGAGCCAACTGTTTGAGCATCCTGGTCATTGTAGGTATATCCTTTCCTTGTAGTCTGTTCACAGTGTTGGAAGCAAGACCAACATCATCTTCGTCAAACATCTTATCTGAGCTTCTGAACTGCTGGTAATCTCTGTATGAACCACTGCCAGAAAATGAGTCCTGATGTGAAGTCCAGTCACTCTTGTAACCTGCTTTCTGATGCCTGAATCCTTGACAACTAGATTCCCAGTTCCAGCTAGATTCCTGGTTCCAGCTAGAGCTCCTGGTTCCACCTAGAGTCCTCATTCCGCTCATTCCACCTGGTGTCCTGGTGCCACCTGGAGACACCTCTTCCTGAAACAGCAGAACTTACGGAAGATGTACAAGTATTCACAGACTCGTCATTCTTGTAAGAGGAATAGCTTTGTAATGGATCGTTTGTGGAGTATCTTCCAGATGAAGGATACGAGGCTGTAGAACTGGGATAGGATAATCCTTGATCACTTACAGTCCATGCTTTTGTACATGTTTGTTGATTCCTCCATTTTGTATTTTCCCTGCCATATGAGAGCCTGTTATCACAGAGTTTACTTCCTTGCACATCTCTGGACATACATTCTGCTGAGTACTCCCTCAGTGGGCTTGTCTCATAGGAAGAGGCCCCACCAGCTGAATTACTGCCAGATGCAGATCGGCTGAACTGTCCCAGCCATTCACTGACACCACTGCCAGGACTTCCAGTCTGAAGAGCAGAAGAGTCCCTAAGTGCAGACATCATTGCAAAGTCATTAGATGTCAGATGGCAGGAAGATGATCCATCATCTGTTTGGTAACTGTATAAGTGAGCAGGAGCGAAAGAAGCATCTGCAGAGTACTCTTCATACTGAGACAAAAAACCTTGATTCCAGTTAGAACTTCCTGAATAAATAAGGAAAGGGCACTAAAAGTTAGCAAAATATTAAAATATCAACTGTAAACACAAGATTTTATGAAGTGATTCTATGAAGCGTCCTTCTGTTCTTTTCCCGTTTCCTGTCTTTATGTCTTACCTGAGCCTGGCATCTTTTCACCCCAAAATCCTAACATTAAATAGGTCAGGAAGGGTTACTGCTTGGATTTCCTATAACCTTTATTGCTGTAACCCTCCTCAGTGAGACAGAAATGCTCTTAGATAGTTGAGGCTGAAGTCATTAAGGCTTCAGAAAATTATATCCTGAACTGACTCAGAAGGCACAGACACAGAGCACGCTAGTGAAGAAGCACTCTGGTTGGCCATTTAAGTAAATTTTTTCACAATCTGTGCAGTCTCAAGAGCAGACTTAAACAAGGAACAAAATATCTACATTACCTTTGTATTTTCCATATGGCTTATAGTGTTTTGGGATGCTTTTCCTTTCTGGAAATTCATCTTGAGAGATTGACATCAGTGGCCTCAGGCTATTAGCATAATTAACCTAGGTAAAGAAAAGGTCAGAATGTCTGTTTTTAAACTCAAATCTTAAACATTCTAAAAAAAAAAATGGTAAATTTCTCAAAGAAAGTTACTAGAGTATAATTTTAGGTGAAAACAAAATCCACATGAAGGATGTGTTGTTCTGTTGTTCACAATGACCACACTATACGTCAGTTTTCAAAAGTGTTATTTGGAACAGGTACACATTGGGAGAATGGAATGAGGTATCTGGGGAAGACAATGCCTCCCGTTTCAAATTTCTTTATTGCCTCATATCTCTCATCATCACCTGGCTAAAATATAAAACTGGTACATATGCACATCCTGTCTTTAGCTGGGAAGTGCAAAATGGAAGGCTCAGCTGAGAGATTAAGCTACAGCAACAATATTTAACTGGTGGTGGTGGTGGCATTTGCACAGAGACAGTTACTGTAGCTCAGCTGACATGGAATATATTGAGAAAACATTCTGAAACATCCTCCATTAAAAACATATGCTGAATTTTGTGAACCAGTAGCTACCAGAGGTGATGAATCATTTTTTCACCGATTCTGGTCCTTCTTCAGACCCTTTTTTTCAACAGGTACTCAACTTTTTATGCCAAGAAGCTATGGAGGTTTGTAAGGGCCAACAGGAAGTCAAGAACTTCTTGCCTACCTTAGTCTTAATAGATTAAAACTCTCAACTGAGAGCAGAGTTACAGGTCACGAGAAAGACAGACTTACCCACATGCTCATGAAAGAAAGAAGTGGCACATTTGGGTGGCACTTAAAGCCTGATTAATCTTAGAAGAAGAGCTATCAAGCAAGGGACCAACTCCAAAAGAAGGATGACAAGTACATTTAACTGGGGTTTTTGACCATGCCTGAACTGTTACAGTTTGTAACAGTACAGTTTGGCAGGGTGTTAACTCCTTTCCTCCCAATGGCAAAACAACTCTGGTCAAGATTAAGTTACTTACTGCTGCTTTCTTTTCACAAAAGGCCTTCAAAGCCTCTGTGAGTTCCTGTGTAATGCGAACAACAAGTGTTGCTTCTGAGTCTGAGGTGATGTGAAAAGTCTCCTGTTGAAAAACGTGATTAAAACTGGTCATTAGGATGCTGAAGGGTCATATACACAAAGAGATCAAAGTTAAACTTTGATTTTTGTATAACCAAAGTTATACTACTAGTTGATATATAAGACATATAATAAATGTATATGCACACATATCCAAATATAAAATTGTGAACATAATTATGGCCTGATAAAAGGTAAAGCATAAACCCGGATTTCTCTGCCACTCCTTTACTGTCAATCATGAACATTTTGTTGCAGATGGAGAAGGGCACAAGTCCTAAATTTATGTTTTCTGTGTAGAAAATTGAATAAAAAGCATGCCTCAGACTGATTTGTAAGTAGATAAAGTTTTAAGTGATTACAGTAAGTTAAAAGAATACAGGCAGTCTGCCACAAGGAATAGCCGTGATTCCTGTAGATAAAAGTCAATTAACTATCTATCAAGTATTTTTAGTGGTTTACTGATTATCCCTTAGACTTGCCTTTTCACTCTCTTTGTAAAGTCACAAGTAAAGTCACAGCTTAAAAGAAATTAAGCACAAATCTCAAAACATTCTACTTGTGATTTCCATGTATAAACACAATTCAAACTCAAATGAAATTTTCCAACTGCCGTAGGTACAGGACGTGACTTTCACAGAGTAAAATGGTGAATACAAATGGTCAGATATTTTCACAACATGAACCCAGAAGACAAACCAAGGCTAACTATACCATTGCACAGCAACTGATAAAACTTCCCCACTCACTCCAACACCAGCAGCTGTGCTCTCATATCCCTCAGTTCCACTTGGCTGTCTGGTTCTGCAGCAGCAGCACGAGCCACGGCATCCCAGGTAGCCACACCAGACCAGCTCCTCTTGTTCAGCGTTATCACCAACCCCATTAGATATGGGCAGCTAACAGCACTTGAGCAACATCAGTGCTGCAAACTGACACTGCTTCTCAGGGTGACTCCTCAGCAAAGGGAAGAGTCATCCAGAGAACAGGTCAATAGCCCACATTTAATCCACCAAGTTGTTCTGAGTTGACATCATGCTACAACTGCACCAGCTTTTCAAAGAGCAGAGTCCATTAAAATAGAATTTAGAAATTAATGATGTGGTCAAATGAGTTTGGTCAGGAATCAGAGGCTCCTTCACAATATTCATTGCATCATTTTGGTGAAACTGCACAACGTTTGTCACAATTATTTTACGTACATACCAAGAACTCTAGAGCTTTTTGTTTCCGAACAGGATCATTCTGTGGAATTGTAGAATAGGGGAGAAAAATTAAAAGACTGAATACTACAATATTTGTTACATCATCTTTTACAAAACAAGACCTTTTGATCTTTTATCCAACAACAAGTCATCACAAAGAAAAGACAGTAATTTTAGGTCACAGCCATAAACATGTAACCTTTCAGCCTCACTACCAGTTAGGTAGCAGCTACTACAAACACAAGTGCATTACTTTCAATACCAGGAAGAGCACATTTCACATCTAAGCCACACCCCTACAGGAGCTATCTTTCCCAGGCTTTCCTCACTCAGGATCAAAATCATGTTTAAAAAAGTCAAGTGCTCAGCTGTATTTAGCACAGTGCCTGACCAGCCTGAGGCCTACACAACCAACCTCTGCCACTACGATAAAAACGAGGCAGTTCTCAGTGTTTGTGCGCAGTGCTGGTTAGGGCAGATACTTTGATCACTTTGAGTTTCACCTCTGAGTTAGAAAAAACAATTGTAAACCTTTGGACATATCTTAAAATTTAAACCAAACCTTCAGAATAGAATACCTTGGATCTCAAGAGGGGCAAAACAGAGAAGGGGAGACTGCAGCTCAGCATAAGGAAACTGCTACAACATAAGATACTTGCAGAATACTACTAGAATACTACCTCTACATACCTCATGCTTATAATCATCTTCCCACCTTAAAAGAAAGAAATTGAAATATTAAGACACATTCTAAAAACTACTAAAGAGTTAGTTTTACTCACAGCATCCAGAACCAAAATATTTCAGTTTCCAAATTTGTATCACTTACCAACACAGGATGTCTTTTAAGAAATAACAGTATTTTAAATATGCCATAAAGGTCCTTATTCTGAATGACTCTCAAAGAGATCAGTGGTACTCATGAACTTCTTTACAGATCAAAGGATCTCAAAGGAGATGACTTAAAGTAATGGCAGGGTTTTTTTGTCTTCCTACATGAACAGAAGTGGATTTCATACAATTTACTCAGCCTATGGCATCCCAAATAGACTGGAAACATCTTGAAGTTTCAACTGCAATTTCTTTTTGAGTGCAATATTTCAAAAGCCTTAGCTACTATTTCCTCACAGACAAGAAGGAACAATCTACGAAAGAGGAATAAGTGGAAAGACAATACAATATATATTTTCCCCACATGTCATGATGTTTGTTACAGAAAAGTAGATAAAAAATCTCTTTTGATTCCCCTGTGGGGGTAGTATTCTCACCTTGCTTTCTTCTTTGATGGGGCTAGAAAATGAAAAAGTATTATTAGCAACATCACAGGGTTTCCACCACACTACTGCAACAGATGCATTACACAGAGAACAGTTACTGGCCCTGAAGTGGCTGCAGTTTCTTTAAAGAGCAGGATTCAGAAGCCTAAACCTAGACACATATTGCCCTTTTAGGAACTACCAGGCATCCTTAATGAAAAAAATCTACGGGAGACTTGTGCCCTAACTTGCAGGGTACCCTACAAACCTGTCCATGTTCAGGCAGCTGAATCCCACACAAGAAGTCTGTATGGATTGAACCGAGGTGGGCACGCCTACTCCACACAAACAGTGAAAAGGTTTGTGAATGTTCCTGTGCTGATAAGCAACAGGACAAATAATAATTCTCAGGATTAGTGACATCTTTGATCCTATAATATGAGGCTAAAAGACTTATGTTACCATTTTAACCACGTCATGTTAACATGGCTAGCACATGCTGATGAGTTGCGACATGAAGCTGCACTGCCCCAAAGTTTTCTAAATGCCAGGAAAGAAAAGAACTGCCACCATTTCAAAGAAAATATCCAGTGAGTTAAGAATCATGGTAATGTAGGATGGGAAGGATCTCTGCAGGAATCTCACAGATCATAAAGTTTAGGTTGGAAGGGACCTCTGGAGGTCATCTAGTCCAGTCTGAGAGGTAAAAGTACCACAGAGAGTGGTAAGAAGAGAAACCAATTAACTGTAAGATGAGGACACTGACAATTAGAATAATTTTCCTTGTATTATTCAATTTATGCTGTCTTTCCAGTAAGCCTTCAAAATCCACCCTGTTTGAAAAGAAGATGAGTGGAGACACGGAGTACTGCTCAGTTGTTGGAAACTTCACTCTACTCTAGCTAATGACTGAAGTCATTTTTGAGATTGACAAGGATTTGACAAAGATTAGATCTGAATGCTTAGGCTTGAGTCCAGCTGAGTTTTATAAGTCTTCAGGAATGGTGGTTTTGAACCTCTTTGGTCAGGCAGTTTCATTGCGTAGTAACTTCCAGTTCCACTGTCTAGTTCAATCTCCCACTTGAAGAAGGACTACTGCCAACATAAGATTCTAGTTTTGTAACACCGAGTCTTGAAAACCTGCAAGGATGAAGAGTTCACTACCTATGGATAACCTGTTTCAGTGCTGTACTACCCTTCCTGAACTCAGTTTTTCCAGAGTTCAGCCTCTCAAGCTGCCATCTGTGGTCATCTCATTACATTGCCTGCAATTACCAATAACTTTGGTTTTGTCATCTTTGTAGCAGTCTACAAGCAGTTATCATTCCATACCCTTTCTCTTTCCCATTCTAAACAACCTCAGCTCCCTTTAACTCTCCCACTAGGCACATGCTCTTCACCCCTAAGAAACTCCATAATCCTCTCCAATTTTTCCAGCTTCCCCTTGAACTAGAAGGAACAAAACTGGACACAGTATTCCAAGTTGGGTCTTACCAGCACCAAATAATAGGGGTAAGACTGTTCTCCAATCTTCTGCCTGTGCTCATCCTGCAGAATCACAATATGAGATTTGCCTTGTGTGAAATGAAAGTGTTCTCTTGGCTCATATACAGCTTGGCATTCACTGTAACCCTTTTTTTAGCAAGACTGATCAATCTATCACTTCCCATCCTGTATTGACTCACAGAGTTATCACTTCCCCACTGAAGATACAGACAGGCTTCTCCAGGTATCTGCTATAATTTCAACCTGAAAAGCCTGGTGCAAAATAGCCAAGCCAATCTCTGGACTTATTTCCAGTTTGCTGCTGTATCCCACAGCAGCATTAAGAGTAGATTTTAGATAGGAAAAAAAAACCACAGGCAGAATTCAGAGACTAAATCAGACCAGAACTTGATATGTTCTACTACCAAACTGTGCTTATACACAGTGTCACAAGGCTTCAAGCTCAACTTCACACTCTGAGTAACTGGTTACAGGAATTACCTTAATAAGTCAGTATTTTTAATCCAAAGCCCAAGACAAAATAGAGATAACCTCTCCTCTTTAGAGAATAAAGAAATGCTGTAATTTTTCCTTTAAGAAAAGCAGCAAATCAATCATTTCAAGGTCTCTCATACGTACATACATGTGTACATATATATATAAGAATATATAATCTTATCTTAGTTTTGCATATGATCTGTGCAACAGCCAAAATTTGGTGTTAATGCCCATTTTGTCGCTTGCAAACTAGTACATGTCACCAAAAGGCCTTTCTTAATTACATCCTCAAACTCACTCTTGCTGTCAGAATGGAGCTTTGAAATTTGCCAATATGATGTAGTCTAAAGATACACAGCTGCTAAACCAGTAAGCACGATTCTTTTCTAAATAACCAGAGTATTTTTATTTTGGAATTCATTTGATGTTGACCTTACCACCTAACTGGAGCAAACCTTAATACTGAATGACACAGCGCTTTTCCAGCTAACTTCACTCTTGTCCATTTCTTCAGTTCTTCATATCCTGTAGGTCTGGGTGGGATCACCCTTTTTGATGTTCCAGATCGATACTTGAGCATGTCTTCTACTTCTACAGAAGTCTACTGACTTGACTGATTTCAATTTACCCTGAACTGAGAATTCCTGAGCTAGATTACTGTGTCACATTCCCTCTTCTTCACAAGAGACACAAACAAGCTCAAAAAGATTCTCTGCCACCTTGTTTTGCAGACCAACATTAAAAAGTACAATCCATAGAAGCCACTAATGATCAGTCCAAAATTGATTCACACTGAAAAATTCTGTTGATCTATGCAACCTTCACCCATTTCAATCAAACCTATCTTCCTTCTAATATTAGTACTAGGGTCAAAAGGTAGCAAGGAAGTATTTCTTCAGGTTGGCTAAGAAACATTATAAGCCTGGCAATTTCCTTCAACTACTTAATCAAATTAGGCCAAATATCAATTACATCAAATCTATTATATTCAAGAAATTCATGGACTTACGTGAGGTACTTGGTCTTATGTAACCTTCAATCTAGAAACAGAAAAAGTTTCACATTAGACTTTCTGAATAAAGTTTCAAACAAGTACCTACTGCAACTGCCTTTAGGAATGGAATAAGTACTTTTATGTATGCCAGCATAGTGTAGCCCACAGTTTCAGAGATATAGAATCCTGTAAATATGAATGAAGCTTGAGAGAAAATTAGCTTACGTTTGAGAAAATCTAAGTTGCAAAAACTAAAAATTATTGAAGTCAAGCAGTGAAATTTCTGAACCATGGAATTCAGACTGGACATTTTCAATTTAAAAAATTTAAAACCTCCAAAATAAACAACTTTTGTTTTCAGATGAATTTCAATACTATTGTTCTTTTCCCCTGACTTTCTAGGGCAACTTTAAGTAAAGTCTTAGCTCAATTGAAAACTACACTTCCTAGAAACACAAAGAAATTTAACAAGCTTTGTCTGCAGTACTTTTAAAATTTACTACATCAAACATAAATGCATTAATAAAAGACACATTACCAGATACTTTACATTTACTTCCAATTACCTGATACATTTTTAATCCTTCAGTCTTCTCTAGCTCTCCTGCTATCCGTTTGAGAAATGAGATTTTGCATTCTTTTACATCTGTTGTCTTTCTCTTAATTTTATCTGGAAATTCTTTAGACTGTTGAAAAAAACAGCTTGAAAAGGTCAATATCAAAATTCATCACAATATTAAAAAACTAAAACATTTCATCTTTTGGACAAGCTTCCAAAAGGCTGGTAAACATTGATCTGAGCATTATGAGCTAGTTTTTTCTTTGTAACACAACTAATTAAATTTTAGAGTTGCTTAAGTAGGTTTCAAAACAAAAAATGGATACCATGCAAAGCTTGCTACCAAAAGGAAACATCCTCTGTACCAAATCCAACAATGCTATGGACATTCTGAGGAATAAGAAAGAACCACAGCGTTCTAGGAACCTGATCCTGAAAACAATCCAAACACTTAGGAACACATTTTTGAGCTGATACAGGCACCTCTGGATTGAACTGCCTCAACAGCTCACTGCATTATAGCTTTTCATGTTGATCTGACCCATGAAGAGTCAACTGCACAAGTATTAGCAATTTATCACATGGGGGTTTAAACTAATTATTTAGAGAAAAAAAAAGGGGGGGAGTATCATAAAGAAATTTTGATCAAAATGCATCAAAAATAACTCACAATGTATGCTCTTCTGTGTTTATATCCACTAAGATGTTCTATCATGGGTGCCATCTCTGTATTAAGCTCACACAGCTTGCACTCATAACGCGGCTCTTTTCTTCCTTCAAATCTGATTTCAACCACATGTTCTAAACCTGTAAAATCAGGAGTTATAAATATCTGTATTTTACTATATCCTACTGTAAACAAATGTATTCTTTTCAGTGTTGCTCATTAAAAGCCAAAATGAACATAGAAAAGATTCCATTTTCAGAACTTTGATACTCCTTCAGGATCACATCAGTTAAATTTATCTCTTTCCAATGTCTTATTCTGAAAGGAAATACACTATCTGTGGCAGATTTGCAAGCCCACCGAAAGAAAATATTTCATGCATCTTTCTTCCTGCTTGGGATACTTTTTTCAAGAAACTAAAAAAGAGAATAAGAATAGAAATGCCACACAAATGTCTAGATTTAAAAACTGCATTTAAACTACTTAGTCGAGCATAATTTGGACAGTGTCCAAGCAGCACAACGTAGATGTAGGAAAGACATTAATCACTTCAAAAAATTGAATCCTTCAAAATTTAAAAATCTAAACCCTTTTTTTAAAGTCTTTAAAGTGTGGGGTCTTTTTAATCTAAACACTTTCACATTTCACAAGACTTAAAATGGGTTTTTTCTTCATTTTTCCTATAAATTACTGAGACAATCCCTTAGGAGTATTCATAAATCTCCAAGTTTGAGGCTCATTACCTAGCATGAAAAGTTTTACTCTGAACAGCTTAAACATAACAAATTTAAAAGCAGTTTAAAACAGCAGCTGTTCCCTTATGTCATAATTTCCAATGCTCTGTATTTGTGATGGCTTGACCCCAGCCAGCAGCCAAGAACCACATAGCTGCTTGCTCGCCTACGTACACACCTTTCAGCAGGGTGGGGAGAAAACAGGAAGAACAAAAGCAACAAAACCCAGGGGTTGACATTAAAGACAGATTAATAAGTGAAGGAAAGAGGGGTGAAAAAAGAAGAACCCGTGCAAACCATGCAAAACCCCATTGCACTCTTCCCTACAAGCAGACCAATACCCAGTCACAGTCTCTGAACAGCCACCTTGGAAGTGAAATCTTGCTCCACCCTACCCTTTCCATCCCCTTTTTCCTTCTTTGTCTCAATTGAGATAGCTGATGTTATGGAGTACAGAACATCCTGTGTTCAAGTTTGGGACAAGAGTCCTGTTTGTGACACCTCCCGGACTACTGCCCACCCCCAGCCTATCCAAGTGATGAGGGGTGGGGACCCAGAGTAACGAGTCTTGACACAGTGCACTGCTCAGCTACAGAAAAGATACACTGGCATGTCACCAAAACCACTTCAGTCACAAATGCAAAACATACAGGCTGCTGTGAAGAAATTCAACACCATATCTGATCGGCTACAATATTATACTTCTAAATCTTAGCTCTGCAAATAAACTTATCACCAAATGAACTGAAGTTCATTACAAGTTACTTCTTGTAACTGAAGGAGTTTTCTATTAAAAATGCTTATAGTAATAAAATACTATGATTTTTAATATTAACACTTTTTGTGGAGTAACAAAAAGGCAATGTACTAAACAGGGAAGTTTCCAGCTAATACTAGGAAATTTGCTACTTAGGTCTTCACGAGGGAACATATTTCTCTAGGCCACCAGTACATACTGGGAACACTAAGGTCACTGAGAAGCAGCATTGATTGTCCTCTCCTAAGAGTTGTCTAATCTAGCACTTAGAAAGAAAGCAAGCCTTAAAATTAATCTTATTAGTTTTACTATTCCCAAGGACAGACAGGAAAAATATCTCACTGAACAGGAACACTGGTATATCCCACCAAACAGAAAGCCATGAAGAACCAAGACTGATGACATGTCACTAGTGGCACTAAGTCCAGTTGGAGGCCAGCAGGTAGTGGTGTACCCTGGGGTCAATATTGGGTCTAGTCCTGTTACCCTTGCATACCCTAAGCAAGGCTGCTGATGACATACAACTGGGAGATGGTTGATACACCAGGGGCTTGTGCTGCCATCCAGAGAGACCCTGAGTGGCTGGAACTGGGCTGACAGGAAGCTCAGGCTGGTCAGCTGGGGCAAGTGCCAAGTCCTGCATCCAGGGAGGAACAAGCCCAGGCACCAGCACATGCCAGTTGAGGGCTGGTTAGCTGTAAAGCAAATTGTTAGGAAAAGACCTGGCGGACACCAAGTTGAAGATGAGACAGGGAAGGCTGATGGTATCCCTGAGATGGAAAAGGAGCAGTGTTGACAGCAGGCTCCGCTCAGCAACAGGTCAATCCTGAAGTGCCTGTGTCAAGTTCTGGACTTCCCAGTACAAGAGACATGGACATGTGAAGGACCATGAAAATGACGAAGGCACTAGAACATTTCTCCTATGAGAAACAGCTGAGAGAGCTGGAACTGTTCAGCCTGAAGAAGAGAAGTCTCAGAGGGGATCTTGTCAGCATGAATACTTGAAGGGAAGGTGCAAAGAAGTGGGAGCCAGGCTCTTTACAGTGCTGCCCAGTGACAGGACAAGAGGCAATGGTACAACTGGAACAGGAGACACTGTCCGAATATCGGGAAACACGCCTTGACTGCAAGGACGACCAAGCACTGGCACAGGTTTCTCTGAGAGACTGTAGAGTTTTTCACCTTGGAGATATTCAAAAGTCATCTAGACATGGTCCCAGGCAAGCTCCTCTGGGACTTGAGCAGCAGGGTTAAGACCAATTCTGTGGTCTGGGAACAGCTTGTTTCCTTAGATGGCTCCTTCAGGAACAAGTTGTATTAACAGTTAAAGTGTATAAAAGAAGTGGCCTTCACAATATGCAGTGCAACAAGCTAACATTTAAAAGCTATGAGATAGATATTATCCCATAAGATATTGAATACATTTCCAGAAAATGAAACAGTATCTAGAATGCTACCTTTTATTTCAGAAAGCCATTTGGTCACAAATTCAAAGGCACACAATTTATAAAACAAAAAACATACCAACTAGAGGTTCTTCTCTTTTGGGATCATTCATAAAATCCTTCAGACAGGTTATGTACTTTGTAAGTCCTCTCTTCACTAAGGTAAAAAAATACACACATAAAAAGACATTACACATTATACAGTTTGCACATCATGTCCATGATCTTAAAGGAGTTTCTAATGGAGACTTTAATGGGGACAAAATTCACACTCTGAAATACATATGGAAAACAGCAAGGCCTCAGTCCCTCACAGAAAGACTCCAACACCCTGTCTTCCATAACAATTTTACACACAAGACTTAATGTCTTCAAGAAAAGAACCAAACAAGCAAAACAGAACTTCTAACACCCTCCAATTTACTGAGGAAAGATACTAAGTTCACATTCATAGCATGTCCCAGACTCATGAAAAAGAAAAAAAAAGTCTATAAAAAAGGAATGAAAAGCTAAAAAAAAAAAAAAAAAAAAAAAAAGGCAAGGCAAGCCACCAGCCTCCTCCTCTCCTGAAAATCCTAATATACACATAACATTCTGGGACTGCTTGTCTAATATAACAAATGACTCCTGTGCTCTGGGTAGCCCAAAAGCAGCAAAAACACTGGTAGTATATTCCTGAGTTTGAACAAGCAGTGTTTCGATCAGGGTTGTATCTTGCTCCTCACTGAGTTTTAATAGCTTGGTTTTCGCACTTCCTGGTCAACTCAGAATACCAGTAGGGTTCAGCTAAATGCATCTGCTAAACAATCTCAGAAAGGCAGTAAGTGTATTCAAATGTTGGACATTATAAAGGAACATGATGAAGCGTTAAAATATGTATTCCTAATCTGAGAAAAAAATGTGCAGAAATGGAACTCATCTTCCTAATTAGATATAACTGACCAGTGAATTACACAAGAGTCATACAGACTGCTTGTTTCTTCAAATTGGAGCAAGGGAGTAGAAGTACCACAAGCACTGAACTGTTACTGTATTCTTTCCAACTATCGTGCCAGTTTACAGTTTAAAAAACACAAAACCCCCAAAACCTCACAGGGATAGGGAATTCAGGGAATTCCGTATTCATTTTTAAATATTCATTCCATTAGGAATATATCTGTGCTGCCATCAAGTCAAACTCCTGGGTTGCAAACAAAGAGAAATTTCACAAAGTTCCAGTATTAATTGAGATGGAAAACCTCTTGCAATTAGAAGAAACCTCATGGGGACACCTCATGCCACAGGAACAGGGTGGCCTATTCCTACCAAAATTTCAGTATCGTTAAAATCTTTCTATGTTGTTTTGCAGTTATTCTGCCTGAGGTGACATGCAGCAGTAGCATATTCTGACAGAGTTGGAATGTAACAAGTTGGTGCTATATAATTCATCTCCATAAACAAGATTCTTACAAAAATAAATGTATTATGCAGTTCTCATGCATTTGTGTGGCTGTGCAGCAGCTCAGTGTGAACTGGCTATTGCCAAACTGACAGAGAAAGGCACGTGGTCTTCTGGACTTCATAAAGAAAGATCCACACAGAAAAAAGTTAAAGGTCTCTTCAAGGTAATTTTCTTATTATTTCCTTACATACAACTAAATATTCCTGTCTTAGTATCATCTTAATAGCAAACAACTCATACTGTTCTTTGTTTATATGCTGCTGGTTTGTCAAACTTCCACTGTATCATCCGTGTACAGAGAGCATGATGCAAAATTTTTTATTGAAAACTTCAATAACTGACAAAAATTAGCTAAATGCAGTAAGATATCAGATAATCATGAAGGCAGAAAGTATGTCTCAAGTTCGAAAGTCTTTCTGTGAAAATACTTGTAACTTCATATTCTACTAAGACCTCTTCTTAGGAAAGAAAATTAACCAGTGTACAAAGGAAAAGCAATAGTTCAAACGTTTGGCAGTTTGCACTGCTTCTTTCTAGACCAAAATCAACAACTTGCTTTAGTCATCATTAAAAAAAAAAACAACTGATTTCAAAGTTGCATCTGAAAAGGACATTAGGTCATTTATATTCAGCTACCTGGTCTCTGTGCTTCATACTTCATCGGAGTTTGGACTGGAGCTGCAGGACCTAGGATAACAGTTTGACAGTCAGACTACTTCTCATTTCCTTTTATTAAGTACCTAGTAGGTCATCCAAACGTTACAGAATACAACAGTTATCTTCATTTTAAGATTTAATATGGGCTCAGTATTTCATCTTGATAGTTTTCTTTTGTAACTTCACTGCTCTCAGAAAAAGTCTCTCATTCCACTCCCCTTCACCATCAACACAATATACCAAACACACGACTTTAACAGAAGCCCAGAATATTAAATTCTTTCTTGATTTTTAAATGCTTTTCATAGTGGTTACTTATTTTAGTTATTTTAACTCTTCAGTACCATGCATGACAATCAATCTATGCCACAGGTACTCAACAAAAAACTTCCGGTCTAAACATTTAGAGCCTGTACACAGTCCCAGACACAATTAATATACTCATCAAACTGCATCTTCTTTTACATTGGGCTCTGAATATATTCTTAATCACTCAGAGCTTCAGAATGAATTTTCAGATGTATTTTTATAAAGGCACTTCTCCTCCTTTTGGAATGTTTCCCTTGCCCCACACCCCCTTAAATCCAGACACAGACAAACCACTAAATTTTAATTATGTTGTCAGTATTTTGTAAGTCACAGCATTCAAGATTAAAACAAGGTGACACACTAATACTCATTTACTGGAAAAAGTGGAAGTTTGAGTTAAATTACATAGTTGCACATGTGATTCCTATTGAAATGAAGTTTCCTATACACATAGCAAGCACAATATGTTGTACACATAAATTTTTTTCCTCTTTCTGCACAATGCAGGCATTTAAGAGATAGGTACCAAAGCTGTAAATCAAATCAAATCATGGTTGTAAACATTTTGCAAACAACTCTGCAACATTAACATAGGGGAGAGGTCTGGGAAAGCATATCTCCCGTGAGTCCTTGTTGGAGCAGGAGCAGGTGTCCAGAGAGATGCCCACATTATATAAATTATGCATTTTTTTCAGTTAAACGCTTCAAAATTTCTGGTAGCAAGAACAAAAGAAGATCTCCAGGTACTCTGCAAGTACAACAATTCAGAGTTGTTCAGCTAATGTCTGAAGCTCAAATCAGATTCCAGGTCCAGCATCTGCAGACTGACAACATGGCCAAACACTAAATGACACGAACAAGCCCTGCGAAATAAGATTTTTAGTGCTTTATTTTGGTTTTACTTCTAGGAACAAACTGCATTTACAGAGAATTGCACCAGAAGCAGTTCACAGTGCAGTTTGCCTTAACACGGTTACAGTTTACAAATAAGGTCAAGCTAAAAATCAAGTTATAGCTGCTACTATCAACAAAGGTAGCAATTGTGGGGGAGAGGGGGTGAGATTTTTTTTCCCCCTTATTAAAAAAAAAAAAAAGCATTTAGTAAATATCATTGCTTCCAGTAAAAGTTTAACAAAGCAATTATGATCTTAAAGACTCTCCCATTCAGCAACAGTAGGTTTCCAGGCTAACATTTAACTCATGCTTCCTAGCCACATGGTTTTGTAATATTACTAATAAGGTAAATTATATTTCCTAAGCACCCCAAAAACAAAACACAAAGTTTCCCCTAAAGCATATCAGACTGATCAGTGAGCTGAAAATCAGCTGGACTGCCACGCTCAAAGGGAAATGATGAACAGCACAGCCTGCTGCTGCTCAGTAAGCAGCAAAGTGCCCTAAAGACTGATTACAGGGCCCACAACAGTTAATATCAACATCAGTAACCCGGTTGAGGATGCACAGAACACTCTCAGCAAATTCCCAGACGACAGTAGCTTACAGGCAACAACTGATGTCAAAACTCCAATAAAGCAGGACCTTGGGAACATTAAGGCAAACCCCATACTGAGATACAGCACAGGTTGCTTACTTCAGAATACCTTATCCTCCATTATCTGGGACTTGCGAGGCTGGCTAGTACCATCCTTGTTCAGTTCAAGTGGGAAGTGGAGAAAGAAGGAGGGTCCAGCAAAATGGCCACCAAGGCAAACAGCCCAGGGCAAATAATTTATGAGAACAGACTTGGGAGCTGGACTTGTTTAGTCTGGTTAAAAAAAAAGCAGAGACTAAGAGGAGATATAACGGCGTGGATACGTGATCGGCAGCTACAAAGATTTTCAATCCTGTGTGGATGTGACGGAAGTATTACTAAGTAGCAGCCAGAAATAGTTGCTTCAGAAGCAAAGATCAGATGTTAGGATAAAATTCCTCTTTAAGACAGAGGAGTAACTACGGACTGATTAAACAAAGTTTACAGACCCTCTGCCTGAGATGTTCAAGGATTCAGCAAGCAAGGGGAATGATCCAGCACTGGCAGTAGTCCTGCTTCAATCAGGAAGTTAGGAAATCTTATCAGTGTCAGGAAATCCCTTCCAGATGATGATTTTATTTAGTAAGGGCTATTTCCCAGCTATTAATTACCTACGTGAATGAACAAAAAAATCCCTCTCCTTTCAATATTCAGTTACACAGTGCTGAACATATAAAAGGTGAAGAACAAAGAAACATCTGTATGTGTATTTGCAATACACACACATTCCAAATGCCAGAAATATAACAGCCATGTTTCAAAACTTAGGGGCACTATCAGACATTGTCAATTCAGCTACTCAGCAGCAAGGAAGTACTGGGCTCAGCACTGCAGATTCCCTTTTGAATACAAGAGGGGAAGTGCACAAAGACGCCAGATTCCATTGTATAGGGGAACTCCCCAAGAGAGAGGTGGGTAAGGGTGTTGAAGCAGTATTCAATCTTATACTTCTATTATTATGGTTCCTGAAACACTTCCTCTTCTAGTCTTCAAGTCAGAAAAGAAATTCCAGATTGGGTTTTTTTCGAAAACATTGCAGTAGTTATATGTCCCAAAACCTCATGCATAGTTATCAATGTTTAACAGACACTGAGCATGGAGGGACATGTTAAAATAAATAAATTTCTGATAACAAAGCTGAAATGCTGATCAGGATACTGATAAGGTTGTAATTGTTGAACACAGGGCAGAACACAGAAAGTCTGTACTTTCACTGGAGGAAGAACTTGTCATCAGTGCTGTTAAATAACTGCAGCTTATCTTCAGACTGGATTCCTCCCCTTGACTCCATGTCAACCACCACAGTGAAGCTTTCTTTACTCATGAGGCTACACAGAGGTTTTAAGTTGAAAGATGCAGATTAGCAGATCTAATAACTAAGCACCTACAACATTCCTTAATACATTTTTCTTTTGTAATGTTGTAAGAGCCGTACTACAAGCTAACTCTGCAGCTTATTGTAAGGCAGAGAAAAATTCCACAGGTTGTGTAAAAAAAAAATTCATTAATCTACTTCTCTTTGTGTCAAATTAATTTCATCAATAAAGCTAGGTAGCCCAGAAATAGCTTTAATAGGGCTCATACCCTATACTGTGCCTTCTGCCTGAGCTTGACTCACAGTAGTAAACCACTGGATTTTGCTGTTGCCCAGCAAACATTTGCCTAACATGTATGTTGGCATTTCCCCATCATTTAATGCCTCTTGCTCAAAGCAAAAAGTTTTCCAAATGTCTCTATTTTGGCCAACAGGTCTCAGGAAAAAAAGCAGTGTTTGGTTTCCTGCCCTCCTTCTCCCTGAACACATGTGCAAGTACCTCAAAAAGACCTGAAAGAAGTATTGAATCTGTCCAATTATATCACTGTACAAAGGAATCACATGACGAAAATTCATATACTCAGCTGAGCTTTGATTTAACTCTCTTACTGAAGTCTTAAAACTTCAGCACCTTTCATTCCCCTGTCTTCCACTAAGGTGTTCTCCTCTGAACTGCTGAAGAGTAAAAAAAAACCAAACCAAACCAACCAGAACAACCAAAACTGCCCCAGACATCCAATTCTGTCATTATAACAAAAAAACAAAAATGCCCTGTTGACAGTTTTACTATATGGAAATTCACAGGGTATGCAGATGCCCTTCTTACAGAAAGCAGTACTCCTCCAAAAACAAACATCTGGAAACAGAGGTATTTCCTCACTTAAGTGACTTCAAAGACAACATGATTGTACAGTAAAACAGGTTACATGCACTCACCACCTCTGGATTATCAACTTTTGATGAGCTCAGAAAGGATACTGTACATGGCATGTTCCTTTGGGAAACACTCAGAATTCAAATAATTTGTCTTTTTAAATTTTGGTTTACAAACGATAACAGCATTGGAGGTGTTCTCCCTACTGACAAAGGAACTTTTTTTAATTCTGCAGCAAGGAAGAAAATGCAGATGTTGGTGTAAAACATTCTAAATATGTCAAATCTCATCATCTGAAGCACCTGTTCTTCTTTAGACACTTATTGTACATTTCAGATACTTGTCAGATTTTGTCCCAAGTGATTTCCAAGAAAACTCATCCTTCACTTTCACAAAACCCATACATTTTTGTTCCTGGCTCTTTGAACTGCTTTCACATTTCACTCTCACTAGAATATTTGATAAAATGAACATTAGAACAAGATTGCAGAACCAGCAGCAATAACAGGAGTATCTCATTAATTTATATCCTGAAATAATCCTAGATTTATACTTTACACATTGCACCTAATTTAAGAATATCCATACTTTCTATGTTCATTCACAAAACTTTACTACTTAATTCCACAAATGCAGTAAAAGTTTTGTTCATGCTCTACTACATAAATCTGCAAACTGCAGCAAGAGAAATCAGTTATTTAAACTGAAAAATAAAGGCCAAACAAAATCAGAATTTATTCGTTTGTCTCAGTGACAGAGCACAATGAATTTACTGGATCTTGAGGGAGAATTATTTCTGTAATTGGTAATATGTCCATGGGAAAGTTTCAAGAATTTCTGTATAACTGACTGTATAATTCTGCATTGCAGTTCCCAAAATTAAATCTGAATTGCCATCTCGGAAAAAAACTTACTCAGGTGAAAAAGCTTTTCGACTTGTAAAAACACCCAAACCATCACAACTAAACCATACAAATAAATTTTGTTAGGCCAAATTGCAGTCTCTTTTGGACAAACAAACCCTACCAGTGGCTTGCAAACTGGCCTCCCACAACTTGATCTTCAGTGAAGCAAAATGCAGTACTGGTAGAGTAGGATAAAGGAGACATCAATAGTATGAATAATCAGTTTGTATTAGAAGCAGAAGTTTCTGATTGCTTCCAAATGATTGCTGAGGCAGAGACAAAGCACACCTTGCAGTGCTTCTGACATGTGGTACCCTGTGATGCCAGGACTCCTCCAGAAGTTAGAGCTGACTTGTTAACCAAAGGTTCACATCTAGATTCTTCACTTTAATAATCAGATATTTTAATTTCTCCCTTCTCGTTCTGTAAGATACATCACAGTTAAAAGATTCCAAGTCATGACATTTCCAAAGATACAGTGTTTGTAGCGTGCACACATTCTTGACCCAAATTCTCCATGGGACACTGAGCTTGCAGTACACACAGGACTGTTTTCTTAAGACGTAGGTATTTGCAACAGGCTCCTGCATCCCACCATTCTTTTCATAGTTTTGTTGCCACACCTTCTTTCACCTTAGTCAAGTCTCACTTTCTGTCCCATGCATCCTTTACATTATTCCTCCAAAACAGGATTTTATGATCTTGAAGAAAGAACCTCTTCAGCTACTGAGTATTACTTTTAATGATCATTTTTTACAAGAAATTAAAAGAAATCTGTAGAAAGTGTCTTTCACTAAAACCCCTTGCCCATAGCCACATGGATCTGTTCTTGTTGCTGAGGTACAAATATCATTTTGGAGTGCTTGAATCCTTTGGATTTTGAGGAGACCTGTAAGTTTTCACAATTTATTCAAATTCTTTCAAGGAGCTCCATTACCAGTATTTCTAAAAAGAGAAGATCTGCATGTGATAGTCATGTCTGCTGAAGGCAAAATCTCATAATTGTTCACAAGCTTGAATGACATGTCTTACACTAATTTTCTTATCAACACAAAACCATGAGAGCAGATAACGAAGTCCAGTTTCTTAGAGGGTTGTCTCTGACCAATGCTTTTATCTATCTTTCTTGTGTGTTGATTCTTCAGGGTCCAGCTCAGGCTGCAGCACCTCCCTCAGTACAGGACTGACACCATCACTCTTCTCTGTGCAGATGTGTATTTTCAGGCACCCTTGATCAACTTGGTTCAAAAAGATTGCGAGGTTCAAAAGATACTGGGGAACAGATGACAAAGCCGGAACGTAAGCCTTGTTTCTTGGGAGAACAGGCTAAGAAGATAAAGTAGAAGTGAAAGACTTATTTCTTGTGATGACTGACTGTATAACCATTTTGGGTTTTAATCATCTCATTGGTTTTTATCAGTATTCCCATATCTGCCTATGTACTCTGCTTCCTGTACATCATCATAAGTACCTGTACAACAGGATTTTCATTTCCACTGTGAGCTAGTTATATCCCACACTTTCAACTTCTCACCACAACTTTTATTTTCATTGACATACAACAGTCTGGACTCACATTCTCAGTTTCTGGGGGAAAAGACACCCCAACAACTGAATTCACCTTGAATACATCTTTGCTACTCCAAGTCCACTACAATAACGAGAGGAAGAACATTCCTGTGATGCAGTCAAGCAATTTCAGCACTGGTAGAGCTGCATCTGCAATGGTGCTGTGTTAGACTGCTGATTTAGCTTCTTAACATAGTGCCTGAAGCTCAGCAGTGAGCGCATAAAGCTGACAGAAAAGCGAGAGATGGTTTAGCCTGGGAAGGTGAGAAACTAAAACACTGACTATACATCCCTCCACTACAGAGATATACAAACATTTACATGTGGAAAGGCATAATTAAGGTTTTGTGCTCTAAAATAATTCTTTGCTCCACAGTTCACTAGACAGAAATCTCAGAAGAATGTTCAGCATATAAACAGAACCACAGTTACAGACACATAAAGCTGTCAAATGCAAGTACCTGAACTACTAAAACAGCAACAAACATTAAAATCCCCAAGCAATATCTGTCCTAGGAGGCTGGAAAGAAAAAAGTGTTATACTTACAATAGACAGTCTTGGGTCTCAGGGTTTTCTCTTTCTTTAATTATGAAGATGCAAGTCATCCCAAAATAAAATAAGAAAAAGGAATTAATGTGCTGTACCATTTGAAGGAAAAACCTAGTACTTCCTGAGAAGCCTTCGCAGACCAATCACATTACAGGCCAAAGTTTCCATTGTCATATAGGAAAAATTAGAGCCTTTATGATTTTCTGCAAAAGCTGGAAGTACTGACAAAAGCGTACTTACAGTTAACACAAGTTTAATTTCAAGAAAGCCTTATTATTTAAGTTTCAAGAGATGATTATGGATTGAAACACAACACCTCAGAGATGCCAGGAAAACCTTGAGTTCTGCATGACTGTAGCTCCTAAGCTTGCAAAGGTTGGAGTTCCAACAAAAAAAAAAAAAGAGAAAGAAAACCTCTCCAGAACCCCCCACCATTTTGAGTAGATTTGGTTAAACCTTAAGGCTAGCCAAATCTCATGAAAGATCACTCATATAATGAAGAACAGGAAAAGTGGGTTTTATCAGCTGAATCCAGAACAGATCACTTTCTGCCAGAATCTAAGGAAAAGAGGAACTTAAATTTCCATTCAGAACATGGCTAAAGCAATCCTGACTCTTTTTGAGAGTTTTTTGGCAAATAAACACAAACTTGCCATTTACATGAAAGAAACAATAAGCATGATCATTGCACCCATAAAGCATCTGTCTGTCCAGAGCAGTCCATGGAGTTAAGTGCTATATTTTCAGAATTCAGTGGCATGGAAGAGATAATGCACATGGGTGTGACAATTCAATAGGAAGCAAGACTGACACAAGAAAGTTCATTGTTTGAGAAGCCAAACAGTTGTCCTTCCATGGCATTTAAGGAGTTACCCAAGTTCTAATATCGCCACAGATAGTGGATGGTTTTGTATAAGCTCAGAAGGATTTTGTAAACTTAAAATATAGACACAACTTCCCCTGCCTTTATGCTGCTCCAAGTTTTTGTTACTTGCCATTCTGCAGATTTACCACAAACAGCTGCTAATACCAAGTTTTTCAGACAAGCGCAGAAAACATTAGCAACTGTGAGCTGCCGCTCAAAAGAATGTCCTTCTGACCATTTTCAGACGATCAGCTTTGATTGCACTTCGTTTACTGCTGATATCACAAATGGAGTTTCAGCACTGAAGCTAAGGGGTCAATTTTACTTGTGATCCCTTCTACTTCATCAGGAATTAAGATTCTCACACATTAGGTAAGGAACTTATTCTCTGTCCTGGGTTAGGTGTTGCAACAGCTGTTTTTGAGCTGAGACTCTGAAAAGTTAGAGTAACTTTTAACAAAGTGTCTAACTTTGAGACGTCAAAACTCAAAAACTACTGTTTTTAAGGGTTCAAACCTCCCACATACACTGTAATCTGTGAGAGGTACTGCACAGAGTAGTTTTCCACACAATTCAAGTTCACGGTTTATCTAACAGAAGAGTTTCACAAGCATAGTTAAGTATTACATAAATATAATTTAGTTGTTCTTAAACATATACACTCTTGAAATACACCTGTTAAATGTCAGCAGCCTATACATGGAAATTCTATTTATTTTAATTCTTCAAGCAAATCAAGTTTTTGGTTGGTTTGTTTGTTTTCTGTATGGTTTGTTTGTTTTCTCAAAAGAAAAGCTCCACAATTCAAGTCTCTCTGGATCATAAAGATAGGCTGTAGAACACAACAGCATGCTTTTTGAGACCAAATATAAATAATGTAATAACCAGGTAATTTTCCTCTAACTGAAACATAGCTATGTTAGCATTCCAAGTATCAATACAAAAATGCCCGACTGAAATGCTTTTCCAGCATGGTTGATTTTAATGCCATAAGAAAGGGCAGAAAAGTTGCCTGTACATCAGGTATTTTCAACCACAGGTTCTGATGCACAACAACCAAGGATAAGAGGCAGAAGAAACCTTGAAGGTTTCTTGAAATATGAAGGAACCTTGAATCTTTGACAGAACCAGAAACAATCTTCATCTGTGCTCCAAAAACAGTTCACAGAAGAGGCAACACTTCTGCTAGTGCCATACCTGCAAAGGGTCATTCAAAAGACATGGAAAAAAGACATTCCACTCTAGGATTTCCTTTCTAGTAAGCTGAGCAATAAAGCAAATGCATATTCACAAAACCAGAATAAAATATATCACATATCACCATATCTCAGGTATATGCACAGCAGGTATATTTTGTTTGGGAACTGTTCCCTCAAAAGGCCTAGACTTTTACTCAGCTGTCAAAAAAACCCAAAACAAAACAGCCAAACAAACTCACCTTTCATGCAGTGTATCCCCCATTTACTCTCACAGGCTTGGTTCAATGAAAAGCATTAGTAAGCTTAGTTGTTTTCCAAATATTTTGTCATAAAGGATAGAAGTAACATTCAACTATTTTTCAAAGCATATCATAAAAGACAATTCCAGTTTCCAGAGCCAAGAATTATACACACAGGTATGAATGATATTTCGGCTAAGTCACTTTCTGCAACTCCCCATCCCATCAATACCTGTTCAGCAACAAAACTGCAAAACCCACCACTGTGCAACTACACAGAGGTCACACGGCACTCAGTGCACAAAAAACACACAGCCTTGTACTGGGATCACCCAGTCCCTCAATCTTTTGTCCAGCAGCACTTTTTACACGAGTTTGGCCTCATGAACTACCAGCACTAGTAAAAAATTAGATGTGCATTCTTATTACTCAAGCTCCAGTTGAAGGATGTGGAAAGCATCACAGTCATTAACACTGAAGTCAGTGAGGAACACAAACTCTCGGCACAACAAAGAATCAACTCTCAGGGATAGAACTCTGAAGAGGTACCCTATGTAGAATAAAAATATTAGCTAATATTTTGTAAATTAATTCAAAGATTTGTGAACTTCTATGTTTCAGTTCCATATACAATAGAATGCGAGTGCTAACAACTTTTATCAAATTAGGTAACTGATCATCTACTACTTGACTAATTAAAACACTGTGACTTGTTTGGAAAAAAATATCCACATAAACTTCAAAGTGCAAATGGAAAAGGCTTCAAATAAGCAATACCTTATCAGGTAACCAAACTAGGAAGAAAGTCATTGCACTCACTAATGATTTGCTTGATACATTTTTAAGTTATTTCTATTTGCAGGATGTCACCCAGAGGGTTACAGAGCATTGAGCCTGCAAATATACAAATGCAAATACAAATTAAACAACTCAGGACCCACTTTCTTGTGAGAATGTAGACTCAGATTAATGCACAAAATTATTTGCCTCCAACACAGAGGAATTTCATGAGGCTTTAGGTATAGGCTTATTCTCGTTTAGTTGGGGAAGTAACAAAATATTCTGTGTAAAACTTCCGTCCAAATTATAACAATTCTCAGCAGTCTGCCTAAGCAACCAGGAAGAGGCAGGTGTATTTACATTTTGCCCTCCAGCAGCAAATTATTTAGGCACTGTCAGTTCAGACAGTCAGACTTAGTCAGTACAGGAAAAACATCCTAACCATCTCTAACTCATCAAAAGCAATCTCTCTGGAGTCCAAGGAGTACAGCACACTGGAATCACACTTTTTCAATAGAATAAAGAGTTTGACTTAATTATTTCCTTATACATATGTCACTATTACAATCCTCCCGAGTTTTATGGGAGCGATGCATTCGATACAATTTACCTAAGAAGTATTCTTAGATGTTTGCAAAGCGACCTCCTCTGAAGAAACTATGCAATCCATTTTAATGCTTAGGAGTCAATGGTACTGATACTCAGGAGAACAACCCAATCAACATATAGAGATGAAACAAAGGTATGCAGAAACAACTTATGTACCTATCCAAAGTCCAGCATAATCAAACTATCCAGGTGACCAAAAAAAAAATAAGATAGAATAGCCATGTACACAGAGTCAACAGAAGTATTATGTGTCAGGTAGCTGAGCTTTACTATCACAGCTACTCAAAATAACACATTTTACTTTGAATAGCTATGGAAATGTAGGCCAATGAAATTAGAATCATTTCACACATGTAGCGTGCATTTACATTTGTTTCTTGGCATGTTCCCAGTGACTGTCCTTCTGATGGAGTGCTTTTTCTTTTTTTGTAACACTTTTTGGTGGAGGGCAAGCACCTCTAACAATGCTGTTTTAAAAACAAATGGGTAACTGATAGGAAAAAAGTAATCTAACTAAAATTATAAAAATGGCTGGGGGGCTGGTATGGACAGTATTGTGATTTAGGTAAAGAACTACTATCTTCTCTCCATTTTGTTATGTTGTTGTCAGGACATCCTTTGGTAGTAGTTTGAAGAGGAACTCCTATAGCCAGGAACAAACTAAGAGCTCTTCACTATCAACACCTAAGCTGCATCAAAAAGGAACATAAGCTCAGGGCTTTTATGGTTACTTCAAACCTATTGGCACAAAAACTTGAAATAACTCTACGATTTCTGATCTTTTCCCACCAAAACATACAATAGATTTAATAATTTAAAGTAAGGAATTAGAGATAACTGAAAAGAATGATGAGGCAATCTTGGAGCAGCCACATGACTTACAGGACTCCACACACCAGGACTATCATCTAACACTCACCCAGTTTTTCAACCTGCCCAATTCTTGTTCCCTATCAGTTTGCAGGCCTTCCTTGACACAAGAAAGTTTGACAGACGTTGCCAAGCACACATGGATTTCCAAAAGTGAAACAGAAGGAAAACTACATGCAGATTTTCTGAGAAAACAACCACTAGTTTTTCTGCTTTAAAAGGGAAAAACAGCAATAATTGGATTGCTATGAAAGTTAGCTAAGGAAAAAAAAAAAAGAAACAACCACAAAACCAAAGGAATTCCTTGCATCAGCAAGGACATTTGGCAGGACATGAAAATACTACAAGGGAACAAGAAGACTCAATCCTGGAGGAAAAAAAAGTGTTTGGAGAAAGTGGAGCCACTGACTCAAATAAGAATCAACGCCACTAAAGCGATCAGCAGGCAGATAAAATACTATTAAACTGTCTTGAAAGCAAAGAGGTGGGGAGATGTCCCTCATCTACAACAACAAAAAAAAGGGCCTACAAACACTTGAGAAAGACAGTATTGCAGTTAGTCTTTAATGGCCCAGGAAGAACAACGTGTCATTAAGAAAATGTCAGAGCAGGCACCTCAGTGCCACAACTATACAAACAATCTGATGACACTGGAGTACAGACAGCTATGTCTCACCTTTATAGACTGAGAACGCGGTGGAATTTTAAATACAAGACAATCATCAGCCAATCAACAGTCAAACGTTCAGCCAAACAACATTTGCAAAAGCCTCGTCTCTAAATACATCCTCTCAGAACGTTGTCTAATAATTTAATTCATTTACTTGTTTTATGCTTAAACCAGGGAGCTGTTATTGAGATGCTTGGAAAAAAAAAAAAAACACCAAAAAACCAGAACTGTCAGACTTGTTAGTTGAATCTGTGTTAGCCCTCCAGAAAATGAGAACTGATGTTACTATCAAAGTAACAAGTCAGCCAGTTTCCAGTTTTGTTCACAGTACAGGTGAGCTATGTAGACTTTGCAAAACAGAACAGTACCTTTACCAACTGTATCCAAAACCAGAAGGTTACATTCTTTCACCATTTCTGGCTCCCCGAGTAATTCAAATGCTAATTTCACAATTAGCACACATTTACCTTTAGGTATGGCTGATGTTTTAGGTTAACATGCTGTACAAAGTGCAGTTGTGAGACTCCCACCTCCTTATGTTTTTCTTGGGATATTTCAAGCAAATTACTGTGACGGATCCATCAATAAGTTAGATAAGCACTTGAAGCCGTGTGAAATCAAGAACTGAGTCCCAGATTTATGATTAACTTTGCATATACATCTAATACGGAAAAGGTTTACCTTTCTATGCTTCGTACCACGATAGTGTGACTGGAGACTTATAGAACTCACACAAGAAACTTTACAAACCTGAAAGAGATAAATTGAAAGCACACTGTCAGTTACGCTACAGATATCCTGCAGTTGGTGCTAAATAAGAACTTGAAATACACCCATTCCTACCGTGTAATTCTCAAGGTCTTCTTTGGCTTAAGAGTACACTTTGCATGACATTTAAGACAGAAGCATACCACTAAAATGACCTAGAAATAGTATCCAAACCTGTTCAAATGATGCTTAAATACATGTTTATTAAACAAATCAGGTGGTAAGAAGTTTTTAAGAGCTTTCCTCTTCTCTCGTACCACTACTTTCTGGACTCTCAGTTTTCTAAACATCTTCAGGCTAGAAAGCCAGCAAAAAAAGGATGATCACATAGTGACTAGACAGGAACAGAGGCAAAATTATGCCCTAGAATAACTGCAACCCTGTTCACTGTTACATCAAAGCGCTCAGAGGAACAATGGAGGAAGACATCTGCATTTCATTAAGATCCACATGACACATATACACACACTATTGCAATAATTAACGGAAAACGTTACAGATGTACAAATATTTCGTACTATCTTTAGCTTTTTTTTAAAAAAAGGAAAGACTAATGCATGCTAATATTATCTATTCTCTTGACGTACTGTTGCAGAACTTGAACGCGCCAGGAAAACATTCAGTGCTAGAACAATAATAGGATATCGACAAATTTAGCACGTTGCAGCCTTCAAAAGATAAACGGGCCCTTGCAGCCCGCCTATGAGAAACACTGACCAGATTCTGGAAAGGCTACAATTAAGAACCATCACACCTCACCCCTGGCGGCTCAAGAACAGCCTGAGTTCATAGAACCCTGAGTCAAGCAGCTCTCCCAGGGGCCGACCACGTTATTCTCCTCTCCCATTACAGCCCCTCTCACTCACGGGTCCCCCACACCGCGCCCGGCTCAGGTCGGAGAGCGCGGGCTCCGCTACCCGCACACCTCGCAGTGCCCGCACTCGAGCGCCCGCCCCTCAAGAGCCACCGAAGAAACGCACTCACTTCGCAATAAAACACTTTTCTTTCAAATTTCGCTTTGCCGTCTTCTGCCTTAACCTCCTCAGCCACGGCGCTCATCCTGCACAGCCGGGGCGGGGCGGGGCGGTAAACCAACAAATCAACAATAAATCCAACTCTCGTTCGCAGGGCGCTTGCCAGCGGTCCGCTGGGGGCGGGGGAGGCGCGGCGGGCGGATGGACTGTGTTATTATTCGGCCATTTAGGCGTTATCGCTGTATTTCAGCACCAAACCGCATCCCTCGACACCAGCACTGCTTTCGGGGAGGTGGAGAGCCTCACGCCTGCTGCGTCACTTCCGCCACCGCCGCCGCAGCCACGCCCCGGGCCAATGGCGAGCCGCCATTGGCGGGCGGCTGCGCGCGCCTCGGCCAATGGGGAGCCAGCGCTGCGCCGCGCGCAGGGTGGCGTGGGCACGTCTGCTTTCTGTCAGTCCGTCCGTCCGTCCGGCTGTCTGTCTGTCCGTCCGTCCCAGAGCCCCCTGGCGGGCCGGGGAGGGCAGCGCCACAGCGGGGTGAGAGAGGGCGCCGGGGCCGGCTCAGGCATAGGTGGATGCTGCGGCCAGGCCAGGGTGGATGCTGGGACCAGTTTAGGTCACAGTGGGTGCTCGGACCAGTTTGGGATGGATATTGGGACCAGCTTAGGACAGAGCGAGTGCTGGGAACAGTTTAAGGTGGATACCGGGAGCAGTTGAGGAGGGGAGCTGGGAGGGGTTCAAGGGGGGAATACTGGGACCAGTTCAGCCCAGGATGGGTGCCAGGAGCAGTCTAGGCTGGATACTGGGACCAGCTGAGGGTGCACACTGGAACCAGGTCAGGCCAGGGTGAGTGCTGGCTCCAGTGTAAGGTGGGTACTGAGTCCAGTTCAGGCGGGGGGGGGCAGGTACTGGGGCCAGTCAAGAGCAGATACTGGGAGGGGCCCAGCGTGGGCAGGTGCTGGAACCCGTCCAGAGGGGATATTGCAAACCAGCTGAGTTCGGGGTCTGGCACCAGTCCCAGAGTGGGCGAGTGGTGGGCCCGGTGTGGGGAAGAGGCAGGAAACACAGGTGGCAGTGGCTTTAATTTAAATGCAAATGTTTTATTTTAAAATGTCTCAGCTTTACACTTCTGGCTGGTAATAAATGTAAAATATAATTTAAGAAGTATGCTTGAAAGTTCCTTCTAAGAGCAGGCTGAGGAGACAGTACAAAACACAACAGAAAAAGTGCTCCAGGTTCGAACAACATGCCAAAACATCAGATCCACAGCTCACTGCCCGGTTTTATTGAGCAACAAATATATTTTATAGGTATGTTAGTGATACACTGTGACACCCATGATACTCCTACACACGAAGCAGCAGAGCTGGTGTTGCTCACACATTACCAAAGGTGATTCCACAGGATTCCCTGGGATGGCTTCCCTGGGGCTGGGGGAAGGCTCTGCCTGCCCTGCCACTGGGCTGCCAGAATGCTTCACCTCTCCAAGTGGGGAGCGTGCACACCCCAGCCACGTGCCCCAAAGCAGGCATCACCTGCCTCGTCCAGCACGTTTTCCTGTAGTGCTGGGGTGGTCGTGGTGTTCTTTCCAGAAATACACCCAAAAAAAAAAAATATTTGTGGGGGTCATGGAATGCCAGATAAGCCAAAACTGTTGGTAGAACTCCATACACGTGTTTGTTAGTCACAGAACCATAGAATGGTTTGGGTTGGAAGGGATTTTAAAGATCATCCAGTTCCAACCCCCTTGCTGTGGGCAGGGACACCTCCCACTAGATGAGGTTGCTCAGAATTAGTCTTGTCCTGCACTGTGTTCCTTCAGGAGAAGCGGGAATGACATTTCTAATACAGTATTATTAGTGAAGTTTGATGGCAGATTATACCCCTCAGTGATGATGTTATTGGTACTCATATTTTCCATGGCATTTCTGTAGCAGGCAGTGTCTTTTACATGGAGTCACACTAAAATGCTTGATCATTATTTGTGGTTCTAATCTCAAAATCTAAATTGAAAACATTGCATTGTACATGTCATGTAATGCTGCCATGCCTTTCTTTGTTAAAAAAAATATTACAAATTAAAAGTGCAATTGCACAGTGAAAGAATGCACACGTAGAAAAAAAAAATGAGATAAGCAAAAAGGAGAAAATACGGTCCTTGATTTTTTGGAAGAGATACCATGTCTAAAGAAAAAAGGATTTAGCAGCATATATATACTTGCAGAACTAAACTGTTAGTGGTAGCTCAGAGTTTCTTGACAGTACAGCCTCCTGAAGAGAGTTTCACCACCAAAGTGACTTTTTTTCTGCTTTAGGAGTACAGCTGTAATTAGTGAGTACCTCTGTCTTAAAAAGGAGGGCAGGGAGAAATAGGGGATTGCACTTCTGCTTAACACTGTTCTTCTGGCAAAACTTTTGAAGTATGCCTAAAGTGGAAATAAAGCTACAGACACAGAAAACTGAAAGGGTGGAGACCAAAATGCACCATCCTGTACAATCAGAAAGGTGGAAAAGGTAGAGGAGGTAAAAGGAACTGCCTTTAAGCAAGAAAGTGTTCTTTGGTTTTGTTAAGGAGGAGTTCAGGAGGGAAGGGGTGTAAGGACGGACCCTTTCAGAAGAGGGAAGTTTTTTGACCGTATAGAGGAAGAATCTTCTATAAGGTAAGAGTAGAAACAAAACTGAATACTGTTACTGAGAATTGACATAACTTTTGCCTTTTTGAAGTTCTTTCTTAGAAAGGCAAAATTTAAAAAACCAAAAAAAATTTTGTTTACACACAGCAGTTGATGCTTGCCTTTTCTTATTTCACATTTAAATGAACAAAGGAAGGATACATATGGTCCAAAAAAAAGTTAAGAAAAAGAGATTCAGAAGAGAGTACTGACATGCTCCTGTGGTGCAAATGAGGAGCTCTGCTTCACCTGATGTTTTTTAACATAGCCTTTTAATTAGTTAAATACAATTACTAGAACTAGCTAAGCAGCTGATGTTCTTTTGTTGCCTTCTGTCACATCTTTGTATTAGTCACTGGAATACCATAATTCTACCACTACAAATGTGAAACTGGAGCTGTCTCTGGAGCTCTGTTGCATGAAGGAAATCCTGAAAAACTTCAGACTGCACAGTTGGAGCATCAGCTTCACAATTACCCACAGCAAGAGAGTTAATGCACACACTGAATTTGCCAGAGTTTGGAAGACTAACCCCAGGAAAACAACAGAAGCACTTCATGCTTCCTAGAATGATATCTTCAGTCTGATTGAGAAATGCAATTTAGCACTGAATTGCCTCAGTCCTTGTTTTCAAAAAATTATTTTTAGCCTGAAAAGTTATAACAGTTACAAAATCGGTTCTACAGAAAAAAAGAAAAAGGACATGATTTCAGACCACAGAGTTTTTAACCTTATGTGGAGAATTAATGCTGTAATCACAAAATAATTACACCTTGATGGCAATATGTATCCATGATGGTGATCTTTTCTCTCCCCAAAATTTCTCTTAACAATTGTTTTTTGACTTTCCCTCCAAATGTCCACTCATAGAAAGTTTTTGCCTAAGCACAAGCAAGTGCTTGGATCTCCATATGTTAGTTTTTTTGTTTTTTTAAAAGTACTTTGTGGGATTAGTATGTTTTCCAGCCTGTTGCTGGTGACTTTGTTCAGAAGTTTTTCTGATAGCATTATAGGGAAATGTATTCTTAATGACAAAAACACATGCCACTTGTCATTGAAACACGACAAAGATGTCTTTGTTAGGGTGGTAGTGTCTATGGACATAAGCTACTCAGTGCAGCCCTCCTGTATGAATCTCCTTCAAATTGATAAAAACCTTGTGACTAAATCCTGAACATGGCCACCAGCACTATCTCTTGCTCACTACATGTTACAAATGCCTGTTTCAATTGTGACACGTGATTTCACACAGGACTTTGCAAGATTTAAAAGAGGAAAAGAAACTCCAGGGAGAGAAACTGCTGTTCTTTTGAGAAATTTTCTAAAATCTAGTTTAGATGTAGGGATTTTGTCTGAGTATGATCAGAAAGGTATTTCCATTTTTAATGTTTACACTAAGAGAGGAGGGAAAAAGAGAGGAAAAGAGCAGAAATGAAGGAAAGAAAAATAGAACAACATCTCTATACCCCTGTCATTCTGAGTTTGGTTTTTTAGTTACTCTAAGGAAAGAAAATGAGTATGTTAACATTTTTTACCACTACCTAAGGCAATCTATGTATTCATAGGTAGGGGAAATGGTGTCTTTTAACTATTTCAATTAAAACATCACAACTTGTTAAGACAAAATAATGGCTTCTCTGAAAAAACTGCAGTGGTTGAGGCTGTCCTATTTAAATTCCAATATGGCTTCAACATAAAGAGCAGCAGAAGCTGATCTTATCCCGCAGAATATTCCTTGCCTCTAGGCTTGTTGCCTCTCAAGTATTTTAAGCACTAGGAATTTCCAGAATTGCACATGCCCTGTCAATCTCAATACCATATCAAAGGATGAGCACCTAAAGTCTCACTGAACTTGCTAATGCTCAAATCTCAGACTTCCCTATACCATCCAGAGCAGACTCCATTCTAAGAATTTTAAGAATGTGTTCTGATAAAGTGTGGTTAAATCACAGAGATATACTTTGCACGTTACAATCAAGGAGTTGGAAGTTAAGTCTTTCCTACAGAGAATTTAGGTACAGTCCCTTAATCTTTCATTTCCCAAGTTAAATCTCCAAACTGAGGACAACTGAAACAAGTTTACTGCTTGCACAGTTCTACTCTCACTCAGATTTTTGAAAACAAAGCTTTACTTAGGTGTCCAAAAACTCTAAAGTAATATAAATTACTTATTGTGTTATCTGCAGTGGAGATCTGCCACAGTTTCAGTCACTGGTGTAACTGCTGGAAAGTCTACTCTTTTTTCTGTACAAATTTACCCGTATGTCAAATCATGTTGTTTTTCACTAAAAATAGTGGCTTTCAATGGTGTTGGACTAGTATTTTTACAATGCTCGGCAGCTGACAAGTGAAATCAGGCCACATTCTCTTGGTCAGCAGCTG